GTTTTAGGAATTTATTAGCAAATATTTAACTGTCACTGGACTTTTTGTCACCCTTGTATACACATTTATTAATTATGCAACAAAAATCAATGACTTTCCATTATTAACCAAGTGTAGACTTTCAACTAACAGAAGCAATTCTCTTTAAATCGCTTTGTATTTATTACAAACATTAAAACTAACGTAAGGGCAATGACATAATGTACGGGGTACACTAACCCCCTAAGTCCCTTTTCCGGTCCCCTCAGTCCCTACCCAATATGTGGGAGGGCGGGCAGTCGCTTCACTGCTCCCTTAAGTCTTACAGGGACTAATTACTTTTTACAGTCACACTGTGTCCCTGGCCAGACTTAATTTTGGAAACTTTAAAAGTAATGTCAAGGATATTTAATTAAGTCAGTAGTTTTTCCACCTTTTAGTTTTTGTTAAGCATAAAGTAAGGTAAACTTCATGGGTTATTTCACTGGTTATACAATTATAGAGATGAGATTGCTTACTTTAAAACTGTAAAAGTGTAGGTTTTAATTATCTTTACATTTATTTATAATTTTAAACTGTGTGTGTTGTTGGTAACCATGCAGTTCCTTAAACTATGATTTGTTTTACTATTCAAATATGAAAAATAGATGAAAAGAAAAAATATGATGAAAATCGTGTTTAAAGACATTATTTTAATGTTTTCAAACTCACAAGACTATGGTGTGTATTGTGGTGTATGTGAAGGGTAAAGTCTAGATTATCAATAAAGCAAGACCTCCATCAGTTTCCTCCTTCGGCTATTGTTTCGTTTGAATAGCGTCAGCTAATTCTATTACTGTTTGTGTTCTGAAGATGCCGGAATCGTAATTGAATTACTATTTGCTAACAAGGTACTGTAATTACATAATTGTAGTTATTGATTTAATAATTGTCATATATTAAAATAATATAAAAATTTTTTGCTCATTATGAATGTAAGGTGAGTGTAGAGTGAGATGATCTGTGTAGCTTAGTTACTGATCAAGATCAGCTGTTTCTTTTAGCCAGGATACTTTATTTAAAGCCCAATGACCAGGAACAAATGGGGTTCAGTTTCGATACATCAAAGAGCTTCTGACTCTTTCGACTGAACCGGCGACCTTTTGATTGTTAGGAGGGCCTGTAAACTATCAAGCAAAAGATTTTAGCTTTTTGATGGTTTTGAAACTGAACTCATCTGGATATTGGACTTTTGATTAATGTTCCTGGCTTATGAAACAGCTGGTCTTATTCAGTAACACAAGGCATGTCACTTCACTCTAAACTCATTTTCTCTCATATTTGAGTTAAAATACACACCCATGTGGCGTCCCCATCTCAGTCAGTAGTTTAATAATATAATTAATCATTAGGTATGGAATTTAAAATAATTAGTCCAGTATAGAAATGTAGATTCCGTGTGGTATACGTGTAAAAAACAAAAAAATCTTTGCAACATGTTAACAATTGCAAATTGGGCCCTGATACCATTAGACATAGTTAATTTATCAGTTATCAGTTAATTATACCATCTAACAAAATGTCTGATTTTGATATACTTTAATAAGTCCAGGGTTTAAAATCTGGTTTGGTTTTCTCTTGAGCTTAAAACAAACCAATTACATTTTCCATCAACATTTTCATGTACATTAGATAAGATTTTTAGTGTAACTTACAAATAAAATAGCATACTAGCATTGTTGTTGTTTGTACTCATAGATAATTTTTGTTGTATTATGTTATCTGCTGGTTTCTCTTCGTGGAGATTTAACATTAAATCATAAAATAATTAACTTGTGTATTTGTGATTTGTAGCACTTAAGTATCCATAGGCTGTTTATCTATTAAAATTAATTCATGAATTTAAAAAAAAGTTTTTTTTTGTCATTTTGTAAAACTAAACAAGTATTTTTCTATAGCTAGCTATAACATAATTCACCATTTAAGTCGATGTAAAATCAAATTCATCGTCACATTCAGTCAAATGCTGCGCCGGTGGGCTTTGTCATTTAGAAGTTAAAACTGTTTATAAGTTAGATTGATCAAGTTCCATTTATATTGTGTCATTGACAGAATGTTTGTACATTTTTATCAGTTTCAATGTTTATAAAGCTAGGAACTGTTTCAACACAAACCCTAGGCTCAATACTGGTGCTCCACTGACAAGACTAAACTGACTGAACTGTCACTCAATCCCCCCACATAGGATTGGGTTTGTTATTCCTGTCTTTCTGCCAGTGTTGCCACTCTCGTATGCTGCATCCCCCAAGTACACATAGAGTTGCAGTATTTGAAGTGCAAATCTATATAAACCGGGTTAAGGGAGGAAATATTTCAATTGCTTCCTTGCAGAGTTTTAAAATCTTGAACTTCCGCACGTTTTCGTTTTAGAATCCCAGAAGACGTTAGAGTTTTATATATTTCTATATAGACCTAGTTAGTTCACCGGGGTGGTTTCAGAACTTCTAACAAAGTTTTAGTTATTTTTGAGGAGTTTTATATTTGCAAATAATTTATTTTTTGTCAATATTTAAAGTTATTTTAAATATTATTTGAATTACAAGATTCTTGATCAGCGTGTCTGTTTTTTTTTTTTCATTTGCATGTTTATTTTACAATTTGTAAAGCCTTCAAAATAAATAATTTCTAATTTAAAATTTGTTTATATAAAACATAACAGTATTATTACTGTAAATTTCATAAACCCGGATTCATAAGTTTCTAACTGCTTACAGAAAAATGTTTATGTTATTATTTGTATTTTTTATGTCTTCGTATTATTGTGCTTATTTTATTTTAGAATTGGAAGTAGTCTTTCTCTTTTCATGATGCTACTCATAATAGAACTCAACATGTACAAATTTCAAAACTTAAAATAGAAAATCTTTTAAATTTTCCTACAAAGAAAAATTATTTAACCACAAAAAAATCTTTGTGGCAACTTCCAGAACACCTGTACACTAAACTGTACACTAACACTATACACCTAACAAATCCAAAACTTTGAGAGAAACTTCAAAAACAGCTGTACAGTATTTAAAAAGAGTAAAAAACATTCTGCTTTCGTTCAAACACATTCACTAAAATTATGATATAATAATGAAGGTTACATCTTCAGAATTACCATGCAATTACCCAGCACATGCGCATAGAATACCCAGCACAACCACCTCAAATTATATTTATTTCTAACAATGAGGTCATTAGGAATATTGGTTGGTTGGAGACAAATTGTGGCCACTTGTTGGTCAAGATGGCAGTGTTGTTTCCTTATTAATAATATAATTAAGCCCCGTGTGTTCCACTTCCCAGATATTTCTCAACCGCTATCATTATTTGCACAGTTGGACGTTGCTCGTTACTTCAACAACTTATTCTAAAAGATGCTATACAGCATAATAAATTTTAATTTTATCACAACTCTTAGATTGTAATAAATAAGTATTTACTTTTTTTAACAGTACTTCTACAATGTCCAGTGTCTAAAAAAGTTAGGAGGAGAAAAGAATAGTTTCCTAGAAGTACAATAATGTCAATATTACTCCGAAAGTTATATCTATAGGTAATCACCTAGAACTTTACTGTGCAACTGAAATAGCTTACAAAAATACCATCAACTCTAGATTGATTCTAAAAATAAAAGTTAATATTGTAGAACTTTATTTTCTAGGTCAGTCTTATTTTATGTTGGAGTATTATCGATGATATTGTTTCATCTTAAACTGTGTTCAGTAATGGCTGTTTTACAATTCTTAATTCTAAAATGTTTTCTCTTAGTTTCTATTGGTAAAAAGTTACTTCATGTTTCTCTTTTATTTATTATTATTTTACTAGTATTCTGTTTTGAATCATGTGTTTGTGCACGTAAAAAATTACTCAACAAATCAAAATGAAAACATTTTTATATATAATATTTTGTAATAGTATGTGTTACTATTAGGCTAATTATTTCCAAGTGTTAAGATTTACAAATACAGAAAGAATAACTATAGTTCAGCCGCTTAGAAAGCATCCTCCTCTAGCATTGGTTTAGTATTAGCGCGCAGGTTGTTTTCTAAGCAGCCGAACTATAGTTAGAGTTTTTATATTTTTTGATTACAAGTTAAATTACATTTACCAAATTGTAAAATTGTTAAGACTTTTGAAAAATATTTAGAGTTACTTTGCAAATCTTACATTAACGAATCTACTTGATTGATTCTTTATTACAAAAGCAATCTTATAGTTCAATTCCGCAATTCAGTTGAAGATGGAGGTGGTTCCACCCACATTCTGGTTTGCGGGTTTCTGGCGACGTATATTAACAAACTTAAACATTGTTTGATGAAAACATTCCGCAACTAGTTTGAAATGTTTGGATCATTTTATTTAACCTTACGTTTCATTTACCTAGCCTATTACTAAACTAATATCAGAAAACATGACAAAAGTTTGACATAGCTGGGGAGCTGAGTGGTTGTAGCTTTTTGATGGTTTGAAATTGGATCCAGGTCTCTTTGGACATTGGTTAATAAATGGTCCTGGCTAACGAAACAGCTGATCTTCGTCAGTAACAAAGCTACACAAGACATCTTACGTCATTCTAAGCTCATCCTTCATTCATATTTGGGTTAAAATACACACCTAGCGCAGTTGGCGTCCCCATCTCTATCTATGAATGATAATAATAATAATAAAATTATATCGATAGTTTAATGTACACTAAACAATGGTATTGGACAAAACGATTTAATTACTTATTTAAAAATTAATTTATTCTAGCAGGATTTTGAAAACAAGTTAGAATTTGTTTTGAGAGGTTATCTTTACATGAAACGTAGTTCAGTTATGTATCTTAGTTTCCTTAAATAATGGTGCAATATGATAAAAAATATTGTTCATCGCTAAGCAAAAAGTCTCTTTTGAACTCCCTCACTCATTTTCTTTGAGAACTTAACCATGGTTCGAAAAGAGTCACTATACGCCCTAAAGATGAAATAATTATACTATTGTATTGTTTTCAGGAGAAAGAAGAAGAGGTGGAACCTTAGATCTGCTGTTGTCCACCACCTACTGTCGCTCCCAACTGCATCTGTCCAGACAACTGGCTCAGCTGCATCCTGAACTGACAATGCCAATGTACTCAGGTTAGCTCCTCCAGTGTTGTTATTAATAGTTAAATAACTTAACAGTAAATCCTCATCATCGTGGAATCTGCCAGCCAAAATGTTTCACAGCTCAGACCACACAAAAAGCACACCATAATACTAAAACAAAATAATAATAGTGCTGCACCCTGTTGGGAAACCTTATAGCATTTTAATGCTTTTGCATATTATAGAACCAACTTGTAAAGTTGAAACCGCTGACTAAATTCTTTGATTACCTTTAAATATGAATACTCATAAGGTTAACATGGGGAACTACAGAGCCACTGGGGCGGAGCCCGAAAGGATTTTTGGGATAATAATATGCTTTAATGTTAATCGGGAATGTTAGCTATCATCATGCCAAATTTCAGCCCAATCCGTCCAGTAGTTTATGCGTGATTGAGCAACACACAAACACACACACACACTCACTAACTTTCAAATTTATAATATTAGTAAGAATACAAACATATGTGTATATTTTTTATTAATAATTTCATATGTCTGACACAATGTTTAATTAATAACCCCAAAATTGGTGATTTATGAAAAGTTATTTTAGTTTAAAAAAACTTTAATAAATTCAGTTACATTTTGTAAATCTAGATTTTTCAAAAGCCATTAACTCTCTCTATCAATATTGAGCTTCTAAAGATATTTTTGTTAGATGGACCTCGAGTGCTCACAATTTTATAGTCACTTTGATGTCAGCACTTAAACACTTTGAGCTCGTGACCTTTTATCTCAGTCTTGTTTTAGTGAAAGGGACATATTTATTTTCAATATTGGTTTTTAACTTTTACGCCAAACATTTCGGGGACTAATTTTTGATAGCTGTAATAAAAGCTGTACAGATCTGAGTTTGAGTCCATCAAAGATTAATAAAAGCCATGTGTTCCTAAATCTGATATATTTTGTGGTTACAGTTCTAATAAACTGATAGCAGCAATATTTCAGATAAATCTTTTTCTGGACATATATACGGACATTAAAACATAAATATATATATATATATATATATATATATAGAAGAAGAATATATATATATATGTGTGTGTGTGTGGGGGGGGGGAAAGAACCGTTTAAACCCTGGTATTGGTACTATATTTAATGCCAATCTTTTTGTCAGATAGCATAGTTAAATAGCCCAATGACAAAATTGTATCTGGGTCCAGTAACAATGTTTTGTGGTCTCTGCAGAAGGAGGGGGCAGTGAAATCAAATTTTAGAATTACCATTTACAAAAATGACAGTAAACAATTTTGATCTTCATTTAACACCAAATTGTAATGAAAATTGCCACAGTCCTAATAAGATATACTGGAATTTACAAACATTTGATTTTTGCCAGCGTAGCAGTTGGCGTCTTGGATTTTGGTACAAGATTGATAGGTGTAATATCCACCCACAAAAGTGTATGCTAAATTCACATTCTGCTAACAGAGTTTGGGATCCTTTTATGTAAAAATACCTCTTAAAATTATATCAAAGAAAAAACTACTACAATACGTGAAACTGTTACAACGAACACGAAAACTATCAAAACTTATCACCAATACTGAAAACTAGTGTGAGAATATTGCACAAAAGGTAACCCCAATTTGTTCAAATAAATATCGTAAAATCACCCGACACCGATAGAAACTATCCGACAATGAAAGCGAGGAAGTGGGACGATCATCCCCAAGTCAGTGATCCCTCCAATTGATGTTTCAATGGCCACTTGCGACAATTGCTTTCAACTTTATGTGTTATACTTGCAAACGGATCTTCGGAACCACTAGATTTGCTGTTTGGTGTTTCATGCCATTTGGTTTGGATTATGAATGGGACTGTGTATTGGTAGTGATATTTTATCCTTTAATATTTTTCTCTTCTTACATTTGATATTTCCTGAGGGTGAAATACCATTTTATGTTTGTTTGGATGAAGTTTACCAATTTTATTAATTTAATGTTTATGAAGCTGTTGTTTGGGTACTAGGCTGGAGTTGCAACTTTAGTTTTAATTTAAATATATTTAGATATAGTTGATGTTATTGACTGTATATATTTATGTTGACCATGCCCATCTCATGTAAAAATGATCAGCGCCAATAAATATCTTATGTCTTATTGCTTCAAATATCTTCTGTTCGTACACTCATGATGAATAAATTGGGTATTTCTTTCTGTACCAATTCAATTCGTTTTGGTGTAATTATTTGATTTTTCTTCCAGGTAATTGATTGTTGTATGATGGGCGATCTTTGGAGCAGTTTTAAACATAAAAATTGTGTGTTATTCTAATATCATTACAAATATTAGGTACCCTACTTAAATATTTGTTTACATTTAGTATGTATGGAGGTAGTGGTTGAATTATTTCTTGAAACTTATTTTGTTAGGTTTGTCATTCAATAAAGCAACTTCACGTACCATAATTTATTGAGTGTACAGTAGTTTATAATTTAATTTTGATGGGTTTTAATTTACTGTTTTTCGCCTACCAAATATTTTTGCTCCGATTTGAACATTCATTCCTTCAAAACATAATTGGGACACGTTTCTCTTGAAAACAAAAATCTAATAAAACCCCTTTCACCTATATCACTTACAGTTATGATTGGTTGTATTAGTGATCAGCATCACTAACACTTTATGATGTTTTTTTTCAGAGATCACGCACAGGTTCCAGACTGCTAGACCTGAAGTACGTCAGCTGTTGTTGCAATATCTGCTTCCTTGGCTGCACAACATGGAGTTGGTTGATCCCAACGTACCTCCGGGAAATCCCCTGTCTTACTTTCAGGTGAAATGTCATTGCAAATTAACTCAAACAAAGACTAACATTATTTGAAAGAAATTATAAATTAAAGAAAATATTTGGACACTATTCATATATTCGTATACTTATGAAGAAAGATTCTGGACTATGACTATTTAACAATTTGTAACCAATTAATTCAAATCCTCGTAGACAGATTCTAATGTTGACTTGATGTCATAAAGCATAAAAAATTTGCACAAACTATTGCACTTATTCAAATAACTTTTAAAACTTAATGTATGGTTATTTTTCATTTTTTGTGATCAAATAAATTCTTTGAATATAGAATCTGTTTCTGAATACTAAACCACATGGTTCGCTACTCTTTCCATCCACACACTCCTGAGCTGACATCCGTAAAAACTTTACTAACCCTCAACTTACGAGAGTGATTGGTGCTAGCTGAGCTTGTGGGGAAAGCCCCTCCAAAAACTTCTATCTCAGACTGTACTTCAATCAGGCCCTTACCATATCATAGGTACTTCTTGATCCTACCTTTAAGTCTCTTTAGATGGATGAAGGTAAACTAATTTTCTCACAAATAACTAATTTGCAAATTTGTTTATGTTGCAGTACTACGCCAGTGACATGACCAGATCTGGAGGCAGGAGGGAGGGTTGGGGCTCAGTAGAAGCCACAGAGATGGTCCTCAACAACCTATTCTACATCACTGCCAAGGTTAGTGTTCCTGGAGGTGTTCACTTATATGCTTTGAATGTATATAAACAGGATAAACACCTTATTGTTTTTGATGATGAGGTCGAAATGCTATTTGATATTGTTACAGTTAATATATCTGAATAGGATTCAGTACTTGAAAATTTTTGGTCTGATCAAGAATGGCAGAGTAGCCCAAGGTGTTTTTTTACTGGCAAGGAGACGTTAACAAAAATCACGAGTTTGAATATTGTCTTGGCCAAATCTAGTGCACAACTCATGAGAAGTTATCTATCTGTAGAGAGGTCTACCAAAAATTAACGGTTGTTCGCTCAGATGAAATTGACAGCATTAGCAAATTCATTGTGCATTTCATCTCAATTGAAATTTTTTAACCAATCCATTCTTGTTGTGCGTTTATGTGTGTCCACAATTATTTTTTTAACTAGTACTTGAGTATTGGGGGGATGAGGAAAACGATATAGCAAGTTTAATCCACGAGAAGTTATTGGGACTCAAAGAGTTAACCACATCAGTTTTAAATCAAGGTAATACTGTAATATACCATCTAATCAGTTTTATTTTAAGTTGAGAAGTTTAACACCACACAAAACATTTTTGATAGCTTGTAGTGCTACAATATCTATTAGTAGTTGTGGTGCTTGCATATTTAATGTGAAGGTGGTCAATTGAATTTCAAGAACTCAATAGCTTTTCATTGTTTGAAACCTAACCCAGTCATCCTTGATTAGGCCTACTGGAATTTTATGAACGGTCCCAGCTAAAGAAACTTTTGGTCTGAGTAACTCAACTACACAATCCATTAGCTACTTGTCTCGCAATCTTCTTCCACTCAAGATCGCCTTGTACTAAAGTTTTGTGACAGTTTGCAGATGAACACCCTAAGGAGGTAGAGGAGGTTTGGGCCACTCTGTGCTCCTGTTGGCCTAACAACCTCAAGGTCATCATCAGATATCTCCTCATCATCTCTGGGATGGCACCACTGGAGCTGCTGCCATACGTAAGTAACAACATTTCCGTATCAGAACCTTAAGTCAGTAAACATAAAATGACCCTCGAAGCCACTGTCCAAAAAACTTACCCAGTACATATGAGAGTGATTTGATTCATGGATAAATCATTCTTTATTTTGTTAAATAAATTTTATGAGTTTGTGGTACATCAAGATGAGTTTGTGTTGTTCTTTTAGCGAATTTCCCTATAGGGAAGAAGCTATAGAGGTAGGTGGCACGGTAAGACCTAGATGAAGACTGTTTTACATTTTAATTTCTCAGGTACATGCTCGGGTTCCCCCTATAGGGAAGTTGGCTAAAACATACCTACATATCTTCGTGTTTTGAAGCCCCACATTACTTCATTGTGCTTCAACTCTTCTTTTTCATGTGTCTACAATTGATTTATTGAGCATAGTCAGTAAAATTAGTATGTTTGTAGGCCAAGCGTGTTGTGCTGTACTTGGCAAGAGCTCGGTCTGATCGTCTCTTGGATGAGATGATGTCCGAGCTGCAGACCATCGAGACTCTCAACTGTCTCATAGAACGGACGGAAACGCCACCTTTCTACAGGTACGGTAAATTTTAAGATAAATTGCTTCTTGATTACCAAAACGTACAATAAAATGGGTTTCAAATACCTGTATTATTGGTATAATGTATAATGGTTAAGATCCAACATCTGATGTGGAAGTGCTAACAACTATTTTCTGTTCACATTCTTAAAACCATCTCAGACATCATAAGGTAAAAAAAAAACATTGCCTCATAGAGGTCGTCATATTCTCCCACTGTTTAATCCTAGTCATGTGTTTAATATTATATTGATGGTTTTTTAACACCCCAAATGAATGTACAAGGAATAGGTGCAGCAAAGAGTGTATGTGTGTGACTGTATGTTAGGGAACCGAAAGAAACTTTTGTTATTTTATTATTCATTTTACATAGCTTTTTTTTACTTTTGTTCATATCATCCTAAGTTCATTTTAATAAGGAAGAATTTTTACATGTCACTTACAGGTTGACGTCCATGAGGAAGGCGAGCAGTCACAGTGATCCCGGGCCAGGAGGTCCCGGAGGAGGCGACTGCTCCAGGACTGACCTGGCTGTGGAGAAGGGAACCATACACACTAAGAGACACAGCGGCGAGGACCCAGGGAAAACTGGGTATGTTCCACATATTCCTGGATAAACTTAATTTTTCTAATAAAACTCTTTTAAAAAAGTATCAAAAATTGAGTTGTTTGTCATTTCTAAGTGATAGAAGCATTATTTCTTCAAAATCAAACAAGCCACTCTAGGATTTCTGAGCTCTAGTCAAAATTCTAGACTTATCCCCCCTTATGGACATAACAGCCTTACACAAGTTCCTTCTTTAAACAACCCCGAGAAATATAACTGTTAAGAGTCCTTGGACTGCCTAAACAGTTAAAGAACTACAAAGAAAATTACAATCTTTCTGGTGTTTGAACAAGTATTTTGAGATGTTAAATAACTCTTTAGCGGCTGTTTGAAATTAACAAAATTAACATTGCTCTTATGGTGGGCAAATCCAATATGGTCGTTAGCTTCCATAGACTCCCTAAAAGAAAAACTCAAAAGTAAAAAGAACATTTCTAATCCCACAGTATACTAGATATTTAAATTATAATCACTTTGGTGTTTGAAAAAATATTTTTGGGAGATAAATAACTCTTCAGCAGCTTTTTGATATTATCCAAGATGACCGCTAGCCTCCAAGGACTCTTAATGTTACAAGTAACTAGCAAAGCTTATAAATTCAAAACATAAAACAAGTAAGAAAAAGGTGCCAATTAATACTATTTAATTTAGATTGACTTTTTAAGTTAAATAAAGTTAAATAAAATTGAAAGTGTTATGCAAAAAGTAAGTTTAAATTTCAGTAGAAAAGTTGGAGAGTGGTTGACTTTATAATCTGTTCTGGGAGTTTCAACAATCATTGAAAAAGTTTCAAACGCATAACAACTTAGGAAAAACTCTCTAACTTTCAAAACTTTACATTTTATTTCAAAATGTATCAAATTATTTATTATCTTTCATTATTAAGATGTTACAAAAAATCACTTTTAAACAATTTTTTATAATTAATTTTAATAGTACAAAATTTGTATATTATTCAACCAGAACTGCTGTTTGTGTTTTTTATATCCGTTTTAAAATGTGTTCTTAATACAGGCAAGTAATTGTTGTTCCTTGACTAAAAAGGTTCCTTGTTTTTAATCACTATGTCTGATATAATAACTCTTTCTAAGATGATAGTAGCTATCATGACACTCAATAAAAATAACTCAAAACTACTGATTCAACTTAAACAATCTAGTAAGTAACCCTCATACCTAACCAGACTTTACAAATTTATGTTTTCTGATTCTCAAGAAAAAAGATTAGCTTTGCTGATGTTTTTCTTTTGCCAGACAATATTTGTACTTTTACTTCTTTAAAAATGTGTTTGTTTTTACCAGTCTAGTCATAAATTTAAGTGTGTGCAAAAGTTGTCATGTGATATATTAACCAAATGGAGTGTGGTTGGGTACACTTTAATTTGTTTCAAGGGATCTGTGGTGGATAGGAAGAACAGCAGGCTTATCTTACTGATGACAATAGTTCGACGTTTAAGTTTACGGAACAATTAGCTCCTTCTTCAGTTGTAGCGTCTTTGTTCTTAATAGAGTTTCAGGCCTTTGTTCCCTTAACTGCCTACAACAATAATAAAACACTAACTGAAAGAAGCTATTCCAAAAGCTCTGTTCCATATGTTTACATGTGCTTTAACTATTTTCGCCATGAAGGTAAGCCATTTGTTCATCCTATCCATCAGAAAATCTTTTAAAAAACCTAGACTAAAGCTATCTTTACCAAATAATAAGATTTGTCAGTTTTTGAGATATTTCTAATTTTCGCAGGACGTCCAAGTCAGATTCAGCACTGAGAGCCTTGGCGGGGGGCGGAGGCTTTGTACCCCCACGGGGCGCTGATAAGATCCGCACTGCTTCGGGCCCCGCTATGTTGTCTGAGGAAATTTCCACCCCTACCACTGAGACTGAGGTACGAAACAAGAGTGTTGTAAGAGTCAAAATTTTGTTGAGTATCAATACCAACCAATAACGGCAATAATGGTAAAGGTCTGCAGTTATTCTTCAAATAAGATAAAATTACCATTAACAAACAAATTTAGTTGCTATTCTCTAACCATCTTTTGGTTTCCTACAGCTGGCCCAGGTTGATGAGACAGGAGCCAGATATGATATACCACAACCTCATCCTCTACCCATGCCTGAGTACGGAGGCTACTTTGCTCCTCTCACAGAATATCTGCCTGACAACAACCAGCCCAGCAGCGGCTTCCACAGGTAAATCTGTACAACTTAGCCTTTAGTCTGGTAGGACCATTGACTTAAATTACTGGAAGTAGACTTCTCATTCCATTATATTGTGTCCTTCAAGATGCAACTGCCTTGTTAGAGATAATTTGTACTGGCTGATGTTCTTGAATTTTCTATTAGGTACCTCCAAAGATATGATATGAGGTTGGTTTATCATGATGGTTATCATGAGGTTTATGAAAGATGTCTATGATTTTTCCGTGACCTTTGAAGATGTTCACAATTTCACAGTGATTTTTGATGTTGTAGATGTTATCGTGACCGCGGCCGGAAGATGTTTAAAATTTATAATGATTGAAAGATGTTCAGAATTTAAACATCTTTGCCACCAAGACTGATAATCGAATATAATATAATAGGTTACGTACCTTATTCCGTCTTCAGTCTTAATTTAGTAAATGCTGGATGGATGCATTGACTAAATTAAGACTGAAGACGGAATAAGGTACGTAACCTATTATATTATATGTTCAGAATATTGTCATGACTTTGGAAGATGTTCACAATTTTTTCAGGACTCGGGTAGATATTCACAATTCAACCGTAACCGCAGAAGACATTTTTGATTTCACCATGATCACAGAATATTTTCATTATTTTGCTGTGACTCTACAAGATGTTCATGGTATTGCTGTGACAGCGGAAGATATTTATGAATTATCTGTAACTGCAGAAGATGTTAAAGATTTTACAAGGTTTGTTAAGGATTTTTTTTATATATGTGGGAGATCATGTACAATATTATCCTACACAACACTGGTTGAAGTGTTTTTAAATTAATACTTCTTAAAGCAGCCCAATTTCGGCCCAAGAGCCAATGGCCAAAATTGTTGACCCTCAACCCAAACTGCTGGAAATATAAAAATTCTGGCCCGCAGAACCCTACTGTCTCCCTCCAAAGTCTCTGACCAGCTGTTCACGATCCACAGGTGTAACGTAGCTGTCATGCTGCTCACTGACGTGGTCGTGGACGGTGTAGACGTAGACTGGAGTATCCACGTGCCTCTCATGCTTCACATCCTGTTCCTGGGGATGGACCACTCACGCACTCTAGTACACGAGCACTGCAAACAGCTGTTACTCAACCTGCTGTTGGTGCTGGCTGATCACAACGACCACTTGTCCGTCGCTCAGATCCTCCTCAATCACAAGACTGTAGAGCTGGGTCTCGGTCTGCCGACGCCGCCACTACCTGTGCTGCCACACATCTTTACAGGTTGGCTATAAAATATGTATGCTACCTCGTCCTATATGATGTTTATTGTAAGTTGAACAATATTGATAAACTATGGATCAATAAAATGAATATTGGTGGTCTTCACTAAGACACAAAGGATGCTTTTCGTCATGGTATCACATAAAGCAATGATGAATTCTAATGTCAGTGAAATATTAATCTCGTAACACTTTCTAACAGGAAAAGTTACTTAAATACTGTAAATAAACTAACAGTTTTAAGAAAAGTGATTTAACTTTTGACTAACTGTAGAACTATACTTGTATACAAAAATTATGAAATCATGAATAATGTATGCGAAATAATTGTGCAATCAGCGACTTTGAAAATGCCATGGGCCACTTCTTGATTGGTTTATAACTACAGTGTAAATGATTGACAAGTTTGCACAATGATCCAGTTTAATGTGAATGTCGCTGTTTGCAGAGCCGGATACGGAGTTTGACAGTTACCTCCAGGGCCCCGTGGTCCAAGTACCTTCTAACAGTCTGGCCGCACTGCCTTCTGCTCCATCTGGTGAGTTGTTGTCACAACTGATATTTTAGAAGGAAGTTTCCTATGTTTTAATTCAGTGTATGGCAAGACCTGTAGTTTTAGATGTACATTACTGCCTTGTAGTCTCTGCTTCCGGCAGGAGTTCTCTCTGCACATTAAATAATTCTTCATTTTACCAGAGTAAAGCTTTAGTTTGGAAAGAGATTTTTGCACTTTCGTTTGAAGTTGGATAAAAACACCCCCTTAGGCCTCACAACATACACTTTTTCGTGTTTTACTCTATAAATTTGAGAAAATGTTAATTACTCTCCTCTACTACCCTTCTATTCTAGTTTCATGAGAAAATCCTTCAGAGTAGGGTTTTTGAAACAGCGTCTTGTACTTTGGTCCAAAATTTTGTAACAACCTCCTTTCTGGTCTCTACTAAATCCTGGATCAAGTTATGAATTAGGGAATTTACTTCCCTACTTAAGTACTGGTTGATTGTTTTTCGCTTGGGTATTTTATTTCTTTTTTGTTTAAGAAGACTGAAGACGTTTTGAAAATTTACTTATAAGCACATGTTGGTTGTGTAGGTGAAGTGGTGGCCATCAATCCTCCGGTGATTGTAGTCCCGGAGGAGAGTTCCTGGGTCGGACCCCAGCCCGGACCTAACATGCCGATACAGGATGTGGTGAAATCCCTCATCGAGTTCTTAGCCACCAGGTACTGTAAGCTGAACTTTATGTATGTAGTCTAGTCATAAGTGCTTGCTTGGTGATCATAAAGTTGTCAGTTTTATTAAGATAGAAGTAGCTTTTTGATGACTCGAACAGGGCCCAGCTGTTCTTGTTTTGGCTTTTAATGATTGATTGATGACTGAAGAAACATATGATTTTTGTAAGTAACAAAGCTACACATGTTTTACCCATCTCACACTCTCCTTTCATGCATATTTTGATTAAAATAACCCCCGTGAAATCCCTATCTTGAATAGTGGTAATGTGAGCTATACCTATACCATTTTGCTATACCTTGAACCTAGCTACGAATACCACACAGTATCTCAGAAATAAACGATGCTTAAAAATTTCCTAAATAGATTTCTTGCTAACTGTTTGTTTTATAACTTTACAGACAAAACCAGGTGCTATGGAACTATGAGGACATCACAGCTAAGGTTTGGATAGTCCGCAGTGTTGAACAGCTTGATGTGTTCCTACAACATGTGTTGAGGATATTTCGAGACTCAATGCCACATGCTCTCATCTCTGAACGCTGGGCACAGGTACGGACGGCTATAGTATTTTTTCTACAACTCAACAAAAATACTGTTATAAATTACTGATATCGGTTTAGACAAAATATTGGCTCTAGGTGGTACATGTAGTTTGGTATGTCCTCTTCAGTATCCAAAGCCAAAGATAACACATGTGATTTTTTTACTTCAACCTACTGTCTAAAGAGCTATATTAGGAGCTATATCAGTGTTGTTTTGTGGCCTTTTAGGGTATATCTATTAGCCTCTGGACTCTAATTTCGCCAGATAAGCTAGCCGAACTCTATCTCTTTGTTGACATAAGTTTTACTTATGCAGCCTAGCAAAGTCGATTAGAGTTTATCATTGATGTCTAATGATGTCCCACAGACAGCGCTACAGCTAGGGTTGTCGTGCAGTTCCCGCCATTACGCAGGCCGCTCGCTCCAGCTGTTCAGAGCTCTGCGTGTTCCCATCACCTCTCGTATGCTCAGTGACATCCTCAGTCGACTGGTGGAGACTGTCGCTGAGCAAGGGGAAGACATGCAGGTATGTAGTGAACTGGTAAACTCAGACACGGATATTATACTATGTGGTGGACATAAAACAAAATGTAGTCAGCTTGTGGTGGACATAAAACAAAATGTAGTCAGCTATGTGCGTCAGTTGGCAAATGTTATGACCCTTCAGGGCTCAAATGCTGAAGAATCGGCCTTTGTAAGTAGCATAACAAAATATAAACTTACAAATATTATTACTTTATTTTGAAATGGCGACCACACAAATGTGGGTAATTCACCCTTGGATATAGACATAACAAATATGGCTAAAAATTGTATCTGTCTGCCCAAACTCGTTTTATAAGAATGTGGTCTTTTCGTGCTCATAAACAACAGAAAAAAGTCTTAAATATAGGCATATCTAAATTAATTCATTATTACTAGGGCTCAAAGAGTTAGTGCACAGTAATGGTCCCTTACACTACACTAACTTTTTCTTCGCTTTACATGATCCAAACCAAATATAGTCCACACATAACCTTACATGCTACTCTCTTCCAGGGATATGTCACTGAATTACTCCTCACTCTGGAAGCAGCCGTAGACTCTTTGGAGTCAGACTTCCGACCTCTGGACTTCATGAAGGAGATATTCAAGTCGACGCCAAACCTGAACAACAAGGAGGGCCAAGGCAGTGGAGGGGGTGCGGGGGGCAAGCGGTCCCCTGGAGGAGGTCCCCCGGTGACAGGAGGCCACTGTCCTGCAATGAACCATGCAAGGAGCACCAGCTACTCTGTGTCTTATTGTATGAGAAAAGCCACCGGGTCTCCTTCCAACATAGATGCCAAAGGTAAATGTTGTAGTGATTTTTACTTTCTGTCCTCTGTTCAGCTTGATAAAAATTAAAACGTTTAAAATAACAATGCTGAATGTGTACACTTTTCTGAAATTTTTGAAAAAGCATTGAAAACGTTTCAACAAATGTTCTTTGCAAACTGGATTATGGTAGTTAATTTTGAGATGTTTTTGTTCCCTAAACATAACTTGGATGAAGAAGAAATTGCTATAGTGATTACTAGTGTTTAATCAGTATATTATTATTTTATTGTGCTAAAAGAGATGATTTTATAAAAAGACTGTGCTGTCTTAAGGTTCTTCTCAATCTCAATACAAGAATATTTTACTACCACGTCAATGAAGTACAAATTGAAAAAATTGAAAAAATTTATTTCCTACATCGGTGCTGATTGTGTAAAAAAAACAAGTTCCATTCACAAAAGTTTATGTATACAAATTGATTACATAATGTATACATGTTCCTGTTGTGGATTCAAAAATGTACATATTAGGCTCGGACCAAAAATGAAGGTTTGTCAAATATATTCTACCATCAACTGTTTGTTAATCTATTATTCAAAATATTTGATCGTTTCTGAAAAAAAAATTGTTAAATCCCCACTATAAAAACGTTTGATGCCTTCAACTAGAACAATGGTATTATTTATTGAGTATTAGGATCATTCTTCTAGTTTTGATTACTTATATGTCAAGTAACTCTGTGACTAACACAATGCCTCGACAGGGTTTCATCCTACTGAGTTGAGAGGACGAGTGTTATCCGAGCTGGAGTCCCGATCGGGTTGTTCGCTCAACAAATACTCCACGAACCTGTGTCGCTCTCGGTCCGCTCAGTCGCTCAAGCTACTCGGAGACTCGGCGAGTGCAGACGACAAGATGACCATCCTCGCTCAGTTGTTCTGGCTGTCTGTCTCTCTTTTGGAGAGCGACTACGAACATGAGTTCCTGCTGGCATTGCGGCTACTAGGTAATGTTGGGAGTCTATAGGGATAGTTTTTTTTTTTTTTTTGTCCTAAGGACGCTAGGCACGAGCCTGGGATTGTTTTTTACATTAATTCAGGCTAGACCTAGGGGTTGCGGCATTATCACTTAGATAAAATCCATCGGTGACTTGGCGGGGATCGAACCCGGGACCTCAGGGACTGAAGTCCCGCGCTCTAACCACTACGCCAGCTCGCTCCCCCTATAGGGATAGTAGATGTGGTTGTAATGTAAGAGAGATGTATTTTAATATTTATATTTGTTCAGTGTTTCAACTTGATCATCATGAAGTATTTGTAAGTTAAAGTATGGTTGTGGATTTTTTATTGGCTTTGACTTTAAAGTGTTTTACATTAAATCTAAAATTTTAAATTTGACATTACATATTGTTATGTGTGTTATTTATAGGTAGAGTAATGCATCGGCTGCCCTTGGATCGACCTGATGCCAGAGACAAGGTAGACAAACTTCAGTCTCAACTGCGATGGAACAGTTTTCCCGGAGTGCATGCTTTACTGCTCAAGGTAAAGGCTTGTTTTTTTAAAAACTGTTACGATAATATTCTTCTCTTTGAACTTGTATTGTTCATCAAATAATTCATCACAATACTGCATTAGACCTGCCACATTCACTTTCTGAGTTTCTCTGTGATCAAGAATTAATTATTCATAAACAGTACATTATTATGCAAATAGGTATTATCTGAAATTTTGTTTGCACAACCTAGCCAGTTAGCACTTCAAACTCAAACTTTAAATTTTTGGAAAATAGTAATTCTTCTAGGTCATTTCCAAGAAATTAAATTTGTGTATTTCAATTTTATGGTGTTGTAAATAAGTTGTAATACAACTGTTTGTTGTTTAACAGAGAAATGAAATAAAAAAAATGTACTACATTACCTCTCAGTTTTAGTCTTTGGTTCTATTTTACTCATTCCACTGAATTAAAGAGAGTACACACTGTATTGAACATAATTTCTTCAACCAGATAGGCTAGATGTTTAAAAACTATAGTTGTCTGTAAGATGGTTTATTATCCAACTGTCTATGTTCTACTCAGGGCTGCACCAACCCCAACACATATGAGCCTGTGATGACGCTACTATCACAGTTCACGCCACTGCTGGACTTGCCCGTGGTAGATCCTACCCAGTCCTTGGCCTTCCCCATGAATGTGGTAGCTCTGCTGCCGTACATGCTGTTACATTACGAAGACGCTAACCAACTCTGTATCATGAGTGCCGAGAACATCGCTCAGGTTAGTGAACCATACTGTATAACTTGTCGTTAACTCATGTGGTAGGGCAACGGACTACAAAGCCAAGATGTAAATGCCGTGGTTTCTTGCCCCAGCGCCCCAACTAAATTTTATCAACTCAGTTGTTCTTGTACTGTACCTCTATTTACATGTTTATGTTTTGTGTTTTGTCATGTGTTTGTCAATACAGCAGTGCCAGGGCTATAACAATGAATTTTAATTTACATTTTAAGTGTGAGAAAGTTCCATGTGGCATTGACTTTGCCTGTTGAAATTAAATAAATGATTCTCATTGAGTTATTTGATCTCAATTATTCCATAAGTCTTATATATCTTAGTGAGTATGACAATCAAGCTAGATTTTAACTTTATCTATCAAAAAAAGTCCTACATATCTAATGACAAATTAAATTGTTTGTGGTTTTTTTTTAAACTGACATCATTATCGTCTGCAGGTGAGCACAGAGAAGAGTAAGAAGTTGGAGAACCTTGCGACTGTGATGACACTGTATAGTCGCAGGACATTCAGCAAGGAGAGTTTCCAATGGACCAAGTGTGTGGTCAAGTATTTGTACGACAGCTACGCACATCTCAGTCTCAACATGCTTGCCTTCCTGGTTGAGGTAAAGCTTTTTTTTGTTTTTACCCTGTTTTTGTGTGAGTTTTTTATTTTTTGTCAGGTAACAAAAGTGGTAAAGTTAAGTTTGTTATAGCATAATGTCAACGTGGTATGACTCTAAAGAACATATCAATTGCAAAAACTTAAGAGGGAAAGATACACCACAGTCCTGCCAATCTGAGCTTATCCGCACCGGATCCTGGAAATGTAGTAAAATGTTATTGAAAAGTGAAACAATGTACTGTATTGTTAAAACTGTAAACTCATATTTGCTCCCGCGATCATGTCAACACTTTGATTGTCTCCCTGTCACTGTCTCCCAAGGTCCTGGCAAAATCAAGATAGTTTCCTACAATCATCTAAATATCCAATTTTTTCTACCACAATCTCTTCAACACCCATGATATTTTCAAGCGATCATGTTGTGTTCTTCATAAAATAAAGCAACAGATCCAAAACTCACTGTTTCATACACAATTCATGGTCTTTTTGTCGATCATCAACATTCAATTACATTTCCCGGTTTTCCCAGCTAGCTATTAAGGTTGCCTAGCAGGACTCTCATGTACTGATCATCATGTTTATAATCCTGTAGCTGCTCTTTTGGCTCTTCTTCAGTAAACGGTGTGCTGTTGTAGGTACTAGAGAAGGGACCAGCCATGGTACAACTGCCCGTGTTGAGCATCATCCACTGTATGCTGCATTATGTGGACCTGGCGTCAGCTGTGGCTCAACCAATCAACGCAGACCTGCTGCGAGTGATAGCCAAATACATTGAGGTAAGTACAAGCTACTTAAATATAATGAAAGGAAATAGTTTCTCGTATTTCGGGATCTTGAATATGCCCAAAAAAGTTCTGAAAACCTTTTTTTCTTACCATGATAGAAAATGACTGCAATTATTTCTTAAATGACAGTAAATTAATCCTTAGTGCATTATATCGTTGAAATAATGCACGTTCTTTTGCGGGAATTAAAATTGATGCAAGATCGTTTTAACTATGTTTATTGCTCACAGGGACAACATTGGAAGGAATCTCTGAAGATATTGAAGCTGGTCGTGACTCGGTCGTCGTCACTGGTCGCGCCCCCTCTTCCTCCTCACCCACCCTCGTGGGATCCGCATCCTGCATGGGCAGACGCTGAAGTGTTCACCAAGAAGGAACTACCTGGTACGTCACTTAACTGGCACCACTATGGCAATTATTTTATCATCCCCTTACTGCCAAATAGGGTGGGCACAGAGAAGTAAGGAAAATTATCCAATATCTAAAAAATTTGCAATACAATATCTAAAATTCTGGTGTTTGTACCTACTCATCCAGATTACAGGTACATGCACCAGATTTTATAAATTGTATTCCATATTTTACATGTTTTTTTTTAGTTTTTATATACAGTCAGTCATAAAGCTAAAATGGAATACAACTCTATAATTATTTGCTGTGACAGGTCGTACAATGGACTTTACCATCGACCTCTCGCAGACGCCTCTCATTGGCCGTAAGAACATCACAGCCGGAGCCAAGAACGTGACGACTGCCTCGCCTCGACGCTCCGTCTCACTCTCTCCCGCAGATAGTGCTGCTGTCAGTGGCTGGAAAAGACCATGGATGTGTCAGGTGGGATGGCTGTCAATTTGTATGTTGACATTGTAGTTTTCTGTTACAACATGTTTTTTTTAATTACTTTAGGGAGTGAACATTTCATTTGGTAAGACAAATTTGTCATCAAAATCAATGAATTATGCTATTTATCGGTCTTTAGATCGTAAGAAGACTAGAATTTGAACTCCTTTCTCTGCTCTTACAAAAAAAAAAAATATAAACACCATGTCGTTGAAAAACAGAAGTTTTCAAAATAAGTTTTAAGAGTTTGCAACAGGTTAGTATTTTCATGAAAAGTAATTTGACAATGATTCAGGGTTTTGAGACCAGTGGTTGTGTTTGTTCGTTTATATGAACGACTACTCAGCTTCTGTTTTTCTTTTGAAAAATGCCCATTTGTATAGAGTATGTTTTCATCAATGTCTTATCTCATGTTACAGGGCCGTGTAAGAGAAGGATTGGTCAACCTACTTACCACTTGTGGACAGAGGGTCGGACTACCAAAGAGCCCTTCGGTAAGTCAAGCTCAGCCCTCTTATTTTCATTTTGCTACTTTTGCTCTTCCCGTCAATGTAAAGTTTATGTACAGTTTGTGAGATGGTATTATTTGTTTGAAGGAAATTTTACTTTAGTCTCGTGGCCCCTTCTCAAATTGCATACTTTTTTTACCGTATTGATGTAGTTTCTTCCTAATAATTATATTTTTATCTTATTTATTTATTTGGCTAGAAAACGGTTTTAAACGTTTTTTACTTTTAACATGCATTGTGAAGTAAAAATGTAGAACTTACAACTTGTTTAAACAATTCATGGTTACTGTTTTCCTCAGCATACACCATCAACTAAAATACTTCAACTTAAAATTACAGGATAATAATCAGTAAAATGAAAGAAAACAAGCTAAAATCTGTAATCCTTTATCTTTGAGATGATATTTCTAAGCTTGTTGATATGTCTTGAAAATATGTTATTAATTATTGTGTTATTAATATGCAGTAACATCAAAGTCGCTAAATTCCATGTGGTAGGAAGTCAGGTTTCCAGCATCAGTAAAGCCATGTTTAGATGAGCGCAGTTGGTAGGCAGGTTACTTGCCTGAGGTAACTTGAAATACATTAGAATCAAGAAACCTGCCTGCTCTACCGACCTCATGTAACACACCGTAATATGAATGAAAATATTATGTACTCTAAAAGCCAGTGAGCGTCATAGTTTTAAGAATTGTTGAGATGGTAATCATCGGAACTGAAGAAACTTAGTAACCATATTTAGTAGGCTGAGAGATTAGGACTGTCAGGTGGTGTACCAGCCTCTAAATTAGCCCTCGCTTGGATGCTCTGGGTTTTGACCATGAGTCACCTACTGGACTTAATGCATAGTTGGTAAAACTGTAGTATATCACCTTAAAGTGTATTAAATATGTCATTTTTGTAACCTGTGTCAAATAAGTACTTTAATACTTTTCTTTGAAATGGGGACCATTACAAGAACATTGAGCCCAAAGACGAAATAATTGTGATGATATTAAGTATACCATTGGTTTTAAAATAATAGACTGTTTTCAGAACATATTAAGGTTACCGTATTTACAATCTATTTACACTACTGTTCCTTTAACTATTTACTATTTACAATTATGTTCAGAGAATTTAGTCCAAATTTACACAGGAGCTGAATGTGACACCAAATAATTGTGATATTATTAGGTACAGGAGGAGAATAGATAGTTTTCATGTGAAAATATATATATTCACGATTACTTACAGTGGTTTCGGTTGAAAGCTGAAGTGTAAGCTGAAGTTGATGTGCTTCACTAGAAATGCATTTATTATTACTGTAAATAGTGTCTGAACAGTATTGGGAACAGTTTGTAAATAGTCTTAAATATATATCCTTTATTCTATGCTATAATACTCAAACAAAGTATAGGCCTGTACTTAGTAATATCGCAATTATTTGGTTTCACATAATCTCCGGCGTGATTTGGACAACATTCTCTGAACAAGATTGTAAATAGTTAGTAAATAGTGAAAAGTAGTGTAAATAGTTTCTAAATACAGTAACAGTATACAGTAATACAGTAATACAGTATACAGTTCTATTACAGTAATATATATACCTTGTTCTGAAAACTGTCTATTATTTTAAAACCAATTGTATACTTAATATCATCGCAATTATTTTGTGTTTGGGCTCAATGTTCTTGTAATTTGACGTAGGTTACAAAAATGACGTTAGTACACTTTATGGTGATATACAAAAATTTTACCAACTATGCATTGAGCCCAGTTGGTGAATCATGGTCAAAACCCAGATCGGCTGAGGGAGGGCTAATTTAGAGGCTGGGACATCACCCGACTGTCCTAATCCCTCAGCCGCCACGAATCTTTGCGGAAGGTATAAATCTAAGATAAGAGCATAGAGGATTTGAATGAAATATGAAAATAAAGAAAAGAAGAATTCTCACTCATGTTTGAAAAAACTGGTTGGTGAATAAAAATAGCAAGTTCCAGAAATGAATCCTATTTACTATGTGTCTATCACTTTGGTAGCTTTAAATCCAATGATGATAATCATGATGTGTGATCGTGATGTGTGTTGTCTTATGATAAACAAGACATATGTAATAACCTAATAAAAATAAACTACTAAAATATATTGACATCATAGCTACAACAGTTTGATTAACTCAAAACCCCGTATAAATGAAGGTTTTGTATACAATGTAGATATTTATACCCTCTTCAATTGTTTTATACACTTCCTTGACCTGATCTAACGTCTTGCACACTCACACCCTCTGTACCCCTTCAAAATGCATTGAAATACCTTAAACTAGATACCATGTAATTACAAACCCTGTACTACAGAGCCACATGTGTACTGAACCATTACGGGAACATTTGTTTTTAGCTCTTTTTTTTCAAAACAATTACTTAACAAAATGATAAAATACTTTAAATTTACTAAATTTTCAAATGGTGTGGTTTAAGTTAAAAATTTTCACTTCAACTTATTATTGCGGCCAGGATGGATTGATTACTTCCCTGGCAAAGGTTAGTTTTACTGGAATTTTCACAAAGCTTTTAGATTTCACTGGATAAAAGTCACAGTATCTTTTGGCACTGCGGAATTCAAACACAAATTAATTAAGTCACCAATTATACAGTGAATTCTGATCGAAACTTAATTACGTTAATGACGTTAATTGAATTATTGATTCACAAATATAATTATTTGGCTTTTATATATTTTTCATAGAATACACTTTTGAACCACCGGCTGTTTTTGTTCCATTAAAAAAGCTAAAATTGTTTATAAACAGATATTTTTAGTCGCATGCATTTTTTAAGTTTTTACTGTTTGCACAATACTTTTTTCAACTGCATGTTTTCAATGTTTTACTGCATGTTTCAGTATGTTTTATTTTTCTGTCTCAAGCAAAATCCAAGGAAACCACCTCGAACAAAAAAGAGTATGTACAGCAAAATTATTTTATTGCCAGTTAGAAATTTGCCCTGGAAATTTGCAATTATAGTAATTTGTAGAATGAAGAAATATCAGCTAGCTTACCTCAGAAGAAGTACAGGCAGGCCATGAAACACACGATATTTCGTCCCCTGGGGGATCTTTTCAAGTGTAGACAAAGAATCTTTACAAAATGGTCGCTGTCATGGTTGATCACTTGGTCAGTAACCATTGTGAACTCTCTTTTTCTACACTTTCAAAAAATACCCCAAGGGAAAAAGTGTTGTGTGCTATGTGTCTTATCTTCTTTCTGTTCCATGGCCTGCTTGTACTTCTTCTAATGTAAGCTATCCCGTTTATTCTACAAAAGAAATCATGGCATAGAGCCTTTTCTTTAAAAAAACTAACCTTAAAAGGTAGTAATCTCACTTAGTTTATGTAAACATAGGTGCTTCATACTTTTAGGAAAATCATTTTTTTCATAAAGACTATTTTTTATTTGAAAATAAATTCATTGTTCTTATTAAATAAATAAAAATACTCTACCTAATACGTATAAATTTTACTGAACCGCTTTTATTATTATTTCCCTTTATTTGTTTTGAACAATCCAAGATGTTCATATTTTCCCTTAAGAAGTATCGATAAATTATTAAATCCACTTGACTTGAAAGTGATTTATATTAAAAAGCCAACTCATTGAAAATATTGATGAAATTATTAACTAAACATTTTATTGAGATAAAACCATAAACTAGGTGATTTCTTTGAATCTTTAGTTCTTAACCACTTGTATATCAAAAGTCAAACGTATCCTAAAATTGTATAATTATGTAAAGTATTTAAAACTTTTACATTACCGGTACCTGAAATTCTGTTTTCAAAGATATAGAAATATCTGATAGACTGAGCAAGATTATCTAATAAATAATTTTCAAATATACAAGCAAGATTAGTAATGGAGATTTGAAAGTTATTTAGCGTATTTACCTAAAGTTATTTAGCGTAGGAACCTTAATTACTATTTTTCCACCATTTTTACATAATTTGTAGTCCAAGCAACACACATTTAGCTACTCAGTGTTTCCAATGACAACAAGTAGTTTGAAGTACTTTATGTACTTCGTTTTTTCGAAACAGTAGAATGCACGTTCCACTGAACCCTAGTAACTATTGGTATTGGTATTAGTTGCTTGCTTAGTAATTACGGTAAATCAATGTTTTCTGTGTCAATTCGACTTTAGTAGTCTTAGTTATAACTGTTACCTGAGTGTGTATTTTGAAATTGCATTTTTTTTATTTTGAACTCACATTATGCATTTGTCTCATTTCCCCCACTTCATATTACCATTCATAAAAAAAAACTAAGAGCCCATTACAAATGGCCATTTTAGAAGACAAGTGATAGAATGCAAGTTTTATTGTCTATCTATTGTATTTTATAAAATCTACATAGGCTAATAAGAATAAGAATAAGAATAAGAACTTTATTCAGCCAGAAAATATTTCATGCAAAAACATTGGCACGTCAATTTTATAAATAAATAATATTCAACAGAAGTCCTTAACAGTCCATTGTCTTGACATATACTCTTCTATAGAATAAAATGATCCTTTACATAGAAAATAATTTAATTTAATTTTAAAATCCTTATCACTAAGCAGTCTTATATCTAATGGTAACTTATTGTACAACTTAATTGCAATCATCATTGGTCTTTTATCTGTCTTGGCTAGTCTTACTTTTGGCAAATTAATGTTATTACAAAAACGAGTATTATAACTGTGCACATCTTTTCTACAGTCTAATAAATGAATATTGGCTCTAATATAAAGTAGACATTGTTGTATAAATAAAGAAAACAAAGTCAAAATTTTAAACTCTTTGAATAGATTTTTACAACTAAACTAGATTTCTAAACTAAGATGTTAAGATTTTTCAGTGTAAAAACTTAAACTTAACGAATTCTATTATATTCCATTAATTTGCCTTGTTTCATGAAATTATTTAAGTCGGTTTACATTTGACAACTCAGTTTAGCATCATCAGGTGTTGATTTTTTTAACTTATCTTGACCAACACTATTTTTTACAAGTCTGCGAAATGATAACTTGTTCTTTAAGCTTCATTTTAGGACTTTTCAAAAGTCAAATCAAAAGCATGAAAACTAGAATCTCTTTCTCAATGGTGTCCTTCACATAGGAGTGCAGACTAAACATGTCATTGTGATGTTTGATGTTGAAAGTTGTATTGTCTGTGATGTTGTCTCCAGGTGATACTCAGCCAGTCCTCGGATTTGATTCAGTGACAGTCCTCGATGGCGCTATCCAGGGAGAATATGTCCTCGCTTGACCTGTCGGTGATGTTCGATGTTGAGAGTTGATCTGTGATGTGGTTTCCAGGTGATCTTCAGCCAGTCGTCGGACCTGATGGAGCGACAGTCCTCGATGGCGTCGTCAACAGAGGAGGTCTCCGGGCCAGACCTCTCCGCCTCCTCTCAGAACCAGGATCACTTCGGCGTCTTCAAGGACTTTGATTTCCTCGAGTACGAGAGCGAAAGTGTCGAGGTGATGTTTCATATCTTACATCAGAACTCAATAAGAAATAAATGTTTGTCTATGTCCCTGGACACTTTGTCTATCAAGTATTTTGATTTAGTTAAATATTCCCTTTTAGTAACGCTTAAGACTAGAGTTAGATTATTTCCTGCTACAAATCTTATAATTTGAGCAGGTATGTTCTCACAACATTAGGATTTTAACTTTAAGAAATACTGTTAATTTTACAATGAATATTACAATCTACAATCTATAAGCACCAAAACATACAAGAGCTTGGATAATTAAAAATCCACTTTGTACTGACTAATCGTTGTTTTCGCAGGGTGAGAGTACAGACAACTTCAACTGGGGAGTGCGACGCAGGCCGCTGAGTGAAGGGGAGGGAGAAGGAGAGGGTGAACTTGGAGCGCACAATCCCGAGGAGAGTCTGAGTGAAAAAACTCCAGTCCTGAGCACCAGGAAGGTACGCAATGGACTAACCTTGGGGTTATTTTCATTCCACAAAATAATAATGGGTCAACTATCAGTTGTGTAACTATTACAAGGTGCTGTTCCTTAATATTTTGGGAGGTCTTTCGCTTACTAAGTAGTCATTGAACTAAAAAACCAAGGCCCAGTGCCACCACCCAAAATAGTATATCTAACTGTACATTTCATTTTACTATTGTGTTCGGTTAACTTTAGTGGCTAACCTAAAGAGGTGAGCAAGAGAGGTGATTTGAGAGAGGCTTTTAATACCACTTTTTTCTTACAGAATGGGTTTCAAAATTTGTATTTCTATAAATTCATAAAAATAACTTGTATAAGAACTCAACAGACATATCTCAAGGCCAAAAAATGTGTATATTTTTGTTCTATTAATTTTCCATGTCAGTTATGACGTTCAAGCGGGTTACTAAAATAAAACACCAATTTTTTTACAAATTTGTATTTTCTTTAAGTTTTCTTCTATGTTTAGGGTTTTTACAAAGAATGCTTGATTTTAGGTTGGTGTTGGTGTAGAAGAGTCATCAGATGATGAGATCGGATCTGAGTCTCCGCTAGATGAGATGGGCGCAGCGCCGGAGTTTGGTGCCGGTGGAGCAGAAGGTGGGGGAACCCCTGTGTATCCCCCGTCTTCTCTGAACTTACGTGAGAGAAGGGATTCGGGCACTAGGTCTGATACATCGTAAGTTGTTTTAAGGATGTTTTCTTAGTGTTCATAAATCGGATAGGCTTACTGCTGTTTTCTAATGGTACCCGAATAATAACTTCCTTATTTCTCCCCGGTAAACTGATATATTCTTTACAGTTCACCAACTGTTTACTTTATTTAAACTCTCTGACTCTCCCTAAAGCTTTATGTAAAGACCTTAAGCTGGTGCTGGTGGTGGCCTTGTTGGTTGTTTTCCTCTCGGTTCTTTTCCAGATATTGACCTCCTCCTTTTCGTTACATTGGCCTTTTTGTCTTTTCTTTCTAAGCCCACCAGTTCTCTTGCTACTGTTGGAAACCGGCAGAGAATGCCACTTAGCATTTTTCTGCCCTGCAAAGTATTTTCTATTGACCTTAATTTCCTTTCTTCGATGTTGACAAATTTGCGTACATCTTTGAGTTAATAACAATATTTCCAATGCTATAGTGAATCAAATCAAAAATACTTTTAAATATTACGTAACAGTGACAATTATATGTATATTAAACTTAGTTGCAAATTGTACAAGCGTTTTATATAACGATTATTCTTATTTGCAGTGGTTCGAGTGCAGGGGATCTGGGTGACTTGACTCCTTGCAACGCTTCACCCAACTTGTCGGCTGTGATGACGTTTCGACCAATCACGCGAGACGACACCGAGGAGGCGTGGAGACAACACATACAGGGGCTGGTGTCTCATATTCCTTCCTCCCCTCTACAGCTGTTCCATATACTACACAGACTCATCAAGGTACATTATAAATAACAAACATATTCACATTACACGTCCACTCTTTAAATGTACCCAATACAGGGAAATCAAAATGTATTATAAAAGAAAAAATTCATTGCAAGTCTCTTTTAAGAAATTAATCAATTATTTACTTAATTTTTTTTCTGCAGGACGTTTTGCGTAAGAGTGTGTGCCTGACGAGGGAGGCGTGTCACTACATGATTGAGAGTGGTGTGGCGGGAGCCGAGTTGTTGGTACCTCCTATGGCGGGGCTGACAGACACACTTGCACTGCACGGAGACCCGCCATTGGTGTGGTTTAGTCCTGATAAGGTGGCGGGGCCACGGCTCGCGGAGTCACTCAGGTTCGGAATGCTCGAGTTGAAGGAACACTTGGACACGTTCCTCGACCGGAAAGATCATGCGGCTGAGGTAAGTGTGTTGAAGATTTTACTGTGAATTTGTTTACTTTAAAAGTGGACAATTTTTCGAAGGGCTAGAGTTCAGCTTTCTTAACTGAGTAAGATAGTCCAAGGACACATGATAAAAGGTAAAAAAACATTATACTGATTTTTCATCCTCCTATTTAGAGAAGAGAAGATTGAAGGGAAATCAAAAAGATATAAACCATAGATTTCTCCATGGATTTTTTTCATAGATTTCTCTTTGATTATTATTTATGAATTACCAATTGAGTTTACATTTAAAGCCCAGTGATCAAGGACAGCTGGGTCCAGTCTACTTTAATCTACTCTGTTGATGTCCTACATTACAATTAACAACAAAATATCAGTACAATATTTTCTCACTATTTATTGTGTTTTAGTCCCTGTACTCATAAGACTGCAGTTTTCTCAGATAAGACAGTGAACATCTCACTGTAAATAAATGTTTGTCATTGAAGTTGTACTATTCAATGAGTTGTGAACATTTAAACCTAACGTACTAACAATACATGTTGTTGTACCAGTGTATGGACAACCTGAAGGGAGTTGGCAGCAATGAGTCTGTGTTGGATGTCAGTCGATCTTTGTACAAACTACACTTCCAACTGCTGCTACTGTTGGAGTCGGCCAACAAAATGTTCACAGCGTTGTGTTCTACGGCACAAGACAATCAGGTCAGTGGCGTACTTGATACGTTCAATTACTTAATATATGGGTGATCAGAATTTAATTTTAAGGTTATTTTAGTAACTCTGATGGAACACAGTGATGGCCATTAGTATTTATTTTTGTTTGATCCATCTTTTTAATCCTCAGATTAAGGTTTATGGATAAACTTGTTGAGACCGCATTAAAAACCCAACAATTCTGTTGAAAGTTTAGTAAAATCTGTTATAGTTCACTTTCTTTCGCCCGAACTGCCATTGCCTTTGGAAATTAAATTAAGATTTATTTTGTTTTAGAATTTCTAAAATGGATGTAATTTTAAAACTGTAAAATAGCTAACTTATATCTATTATCTATCAGTCTTATTTTTGTGAATGCAAAATTCAAAATGATTTCTTACCATGGCAAGAAATTTAGAATAATTACTAAGTTGTAGTTGTATGGTTGTTGTAGGTATTTAGTTGTATTATTTGGTTGGTAGTTTTTGATTTTATTAATATTAGACTACGATTATTTCTTTAATTTCACTTTTAAGTTCTTTTTACTACTCCACCATTGTCCATTGACTTTTTCAGTATCTACCAGTATACAACACAAAATGAAAATACTATATACCAAAATAGGGGTGGAAATGTAGTCAAATACACAAAGCAATAATGTAAAAATTAAAGGATTGCAAGTCACACAAAGATTTACAATTTCAATTTTTGTTGATCGCAGCTGAACGACATCTCACTGGAGGTGGCCGAGATGAGGCAGTCGTTGAGCCGAGCTAGAGAGGAAGGTTTAGAGTCGAGTGACCAAGGCACCCCCACTCCCACTCCTTCGCCTTCGCCCTCTCCGCTCCCCGACCTGCCGGAGTCACAAGTATTGGTGGAACTGCTGCAGAACACCAAGTGGCACTCGGCGCTGCACTACGCTCATCACAACAGGTGAAAATGACTAGCCTAACCTAACCTACCACATTCCAGGTTTGTTTGTCATAACCTAGCGTTATCCAACCTACCTAGCTTCACCTGATCTAACCACCTTAACCTTAACCTTACCTACCTACAATACCTAGCTTGAACCTAACCTCCTTATTCTAACCAAACCTACCTAGCTTTACTTTCATCTTTATCTTTGCCTAACTCACCTGTCCTAACCTAAACTACCAATCCTACCCTACTTAGCTTAACATACCCTAGCTTACCCTTTGACTAAAGATAACTAGACATTCCGTTCCCATGTGGCCTCACACAGGAACTATCATGCTCGTACCGTAGACACCTAACCCAGGCTACTAGTTTATCAGCATTCATAGTCCTACTTCTAGATATTGCTTTATATTACTTAAATTATTTTTTTACCTTACAATATCCTTATTTGTAGTTGGTAAACGACATGTTTCGAGGCAACTACCTAGCTACCCTCAGGTACTTAAAGTTTATGTTTATTACCTACAACATAAACAACCACTACACAAAAAACTTAACCATGCTAAACCGAAAAAATAGTATAGTATAGTATAGTAGTAGTATAGTAGTAGTAGTTTCACATGTCTGATGACAAACCTCTTGATGAGGATAAACCTGATGATGTGGTATATACAAAACATGTTGTGAAGTAACAAAATAATTACCTTTTACTCAATTCATTTTGAAGGCGCTTATAAGAATTCTTGTTTTTTTAGGGAATTGTGTATGACTTCAGTGGCAATAACACTTTGTTTGATGTCATGTTATATTTCCAGGGGAATGTGGCCGAGTGATCTGTTGTCCATGGGGTGTGAGGAGGATGACATCACTAGCATACTCAGTGTCTACTGCAACCAGCTTGTCAGGGATAAACCAGGTAATTACTCTTCTCAATTGTCTAGCTTAAGTGTTGACTTTGAGGATTACGTTTGGAGGTACGGTTGGGTACCTTTATTTTCAAGGGTAGCTGGGCGGATACTGTCCCTTCGTGTCTTTTGTTTCTTTGATACTTCCAAACTGATAAGTTCCTTTCTCCACCATCGATTAATGTGTCTGAAAAGGTGTATCAGTTACATGGGGAATTTTGCACCCTAGTTGTTGCTATGCTTCAGAGACCGTTGAAGTTCTTTTCTTTAACTCTATAAAACTGAGGCAATGGCCACACAAGCGTCGCAGAATGAAAACCGGTAAAAATATAAGCAGCATTAATTGTAATGGAGTATACCACATGCGCTTGTTTTTTCACCACTGTAGGACCAGGGGGGGCTCCAGGAATATTTTTTCGGTAGTCCTGGCAAGGCTCAAGAAAAAGCTTGATAAGGTTACGAGAGGTTTGAGGGGCTTCTCTGCAAAATGGGAAGAATTAAAAAATTGAAATTGAAATGCAAAATAATGCCTTTTTGTTCTTGTTTGATCCCATGAACTTTTGAGAAAACTACAAGTCACACCCCCATAAACCATATACTTAAATCACAATCACGGACGTCGGGTGATCGTGGTGGGCGGTGGCGTTTCGTTAACAATTTTGTTAATTGAAAGATAAAACTTCAGTAGATTTGGCAGGATAAAAGTATCTACCAACACATAGTGTTTAAAAAAAATTGTCAGGAGAGAAAAACATCCGTGAACACAGGATTGATTTTACGGATGGTTTTAGGAGAAAAGGGTATCTCAACCTCGTGGGCCCCCCCGCACTGCGGGGTCTGCGGGGCCGGCTGTTACCCCACTTGCTGAGAGCTGTAAAGTTTGATGAATAATTATTGTTTACATTCTATATTCATGTTCCAGATGCGTTCGTAGTGACTGAACAAGACTTGGGAAAGGTCCTAACTGGTCTGATGGAAGGACTGTACCAAGTATTAAGCGCAATCAAGACTTTCGATACCAAAAGTACAAGATCAACTAAGAATTAATTGTAGTTATACTCTATTGTGATAAAGTTAAGTTCCTTTATTTCTTGCACTATTGTATTTGTTTTATACTTTAGGTACTTTTGATATTAGATAATTATCAATCAAGTATTATTTCATGTATGCTTATTTATTATTAAATATGAATATTTACAAACACTGGTTGACTTCATTGGTTTCTTGAAGACCTGAGCCCTCGTTTTTCTGCTTTTTCAATAACTCCTTTCTCTAAACCAAAAATCTTACTCCAGTTATATTTTAAGACCTCTACCCTCCAATTCACCTCCAAAAAGTACCAGGTTGGCAGAAATTGGTGGAAACCATACTAGTTGAGTAAAATCTTGATGATTCCTACTCTATTCTAGCCTCCTGATACAAAAACCGGCTTTGTGCTTTTGGGTTTTAGAAACCTTACTTGTTGAGCCAACAATTATGGCTCCTACTATATTCTGCCCTTCTGATACAAAACGGACAATTTACCTCTAAAATGTACCAGGTTGGCAGGAATTGGTAGAACCCATACTAGTTGAATCAAACCTTGATGACTCCTACTCTATTCTAGCCTCCTGATACAAAAACCGGCTTTGTGTTTTTACCTTACTTGTGAGCTAACAATTATGGCTCCTACTATATTCTGACCTCCTGATACAAAACTGACAATTTACCTCTGAAAAGTACCAGGTTGGCAGAAATTGGTTGAGTCAGACCTTGATGACTCGTACTCTATTTTAGCCTCCTGATACAAAAACCGGCTTTGTGCTTTTGGGTTTTAGAAACCTTACTTGTTGAGCTAACAATTATGGCTCCTACTATATTCTGGCCTCCTGATACAAAACGGACAATTTACCTCTAAAAAGTACCATTTTGGCAGGAATTGGTAGAACCCATACTAGTTGAATCAAACCTTGATGACTCCTACTCTATTCTAGCCTCCTGATACAAAAACCGGCTTTGGGTTTTTGGGTTTTAGAAACCTTACTTGTGAGCTAACAATTATGGCTCCTACTATATTCTGGCCTCCTGATACAAAACTGACAATTTACCTCTGAAAAGTACCAGGTTGGCAGAAATTGGTTGAGTCAAACCTTGATGACTCCTACTCTATTTTAGCCTCCTGATACAAAAAGCAGCTATGTGCTTTTGGGTTTTAGAAACCTTACTTGTTGAGCTAACAATTATGGCTCCTACTATATTCTGGCCTCCTGATACAAAACAGACAATTTACCTCTGAAAAGTACCAGGTTGGCAGAAATTGGTAGAACCCATACTAGTTGAGTCAAACCTTGATGACTCCTACTCTATTCTGGCCTCCTGATAATAAAATTTACCATTTATATTTAGCCCACCAGAACTAATATTAATAGTAGGAACTTTACTATGTGAATACCATGATCACTCTCAATTCTTGCCTCCTTCCTAGTATAAATTTGAAAATAAAAGTATCAAGGTGGTACTTAACCTTGAGGTTGTGTCAAAAGGAGTTCCTAATGTCGGAAATGTTACTAGCTTGCACTATTTAAAAATTAAATCACACAAACTACTAAATTGGTAATAGTTAGTTAGTTTTCAACACTATCTTTATTATATTTCATATCCTTTACAGCTTGCCTGACTCTATCCTCCATTTCCTTCTTGCTGTCTCTCTCACTGTCGTACACATAGTCGACTTTTTCAGGTCTTCTGAAAAATATCTCCTCTGCCTCCTGAAAGTGAGGTATGTACTGTGCAAGTGAAAGCTCTCTAGTTTGATCATTTTCTGTTTGCTCAAAACCATCACATTCTCGTTTCGCCAAAGATTTTCCTTCGTACAAATTTAACTGGACAGTCATCAATGCCACTATACTGACAATGGTGAGAAGATTAATATTATGTGACATTATGATTTGTAAGATTATGAATTTTTGTCTCAGTAACATTAAAAGAATGTCAATTACTAAGCAACGTGTCAAATTAAAATAATTTTAAAAGTCCAGAAGATTTGCTAGTTTTAGGTAAAATAAAAGAGGAAGATAAGAACACATGAAAAAAAAAACAGAGTACAATTTAATAGTTTTATTAGGTCAGTATGTACAATCAAGATAAACCTAGAAAAATTCAGTCTCTATATTGGAGTAAGCTCGGTATCACAAATCAGCTGCAACATTTCACGGTTATACCTGAAACAACAACAAACGATAATAGATATTCCTTCACAAAAATTCTGTAAATTTTACCAAGATTTTTTTTTGACAAATATCTTTTGGTAGTGTCATGTAAACCATGTATGTATATACAGAACTGCATAATTCTATTTTCTCCAATTATATTCAACTAAAGTAAACCATATGTATGGAATTGATGTGTTACCAGTAGTTAATCTCAAAAAACATTGTTATAAGAGGGGCAGGTTCAATTTCCAGCATATCAACATAAGTTTTATGGATTCAAATTGCTTTCGAGATAAAATGCCACTGTCATAGACACCGAAAAAGTTAAATGGGAGCAGATCAAAGTCTTGTTTACCTATGCTGGGAGCAGATCACAGTCATGTTTATATATGCTGGGAGCAAATTAAAGTTGTGTTTACCTATGCTGGGAGCAGATCAAAGTCATCGCTGACGTGCACCATGGGTACATGGCTATCCTCGATGACAGGCTTGGCCTTGAACTCACACAGTCCCAACTCCTTCATCTTCCACTCCCAATCCATCTTCTGTACAGCATGGAGACTTTCAGCCTCGTTGTGGTGCCTTAACAGCATCGATTCCTGAATTGTACAGAATTCAGTTATTGTTTTATCATTCGGATAAAACCATTGACTTTTGGATGGTTATGTTAATAATCAAAGATAAAACTCTAATTGGTATCGAAACATTTTGGTTCGGAAGAATCTGATTTTGAGTCACTCAAAAGATGGATTAAACCTGTGATTACAAAATAATATTGCTCTTTTTAACCCCATAACAATTAAAAAAGTACCAGCAGCATTAAAATTAATTAACACTATATTAAAAGAAACGCAAAATCATGCAGATCATTAGTGAGTACCTACTTTGAATATTAGAATTACACAGGGTGTCTAGTTTATTTCCATTACAAAATTCAAGACTAATTCCAGACTTTTCAAGACTAACTCCAGATTTTTCAAGACTAGTTTTTTCAACATAAAGTGGGTGTTGATACCAAAATGTATCGATTCTCGATTCTTGGTACCGATACCAATTTTTATAGCTTGAGCAAATTTTCTAAATAATACTACACCAACCCCTGTCTTTGTCATAAAGTAGTATTATGATAATGTCGTGTTTTCAAGTAAAGAAATAATGCAGCAATAAAAAATTCTAACTAGCAAATTTGTTTTTTTTTATCATGAAATCTTCCGCGTATCGTACGTTTAGACATCATCATTGACTGCAGCGGTTACAGAAATGTGATCGTCGTCGTCCGCGATCACGGCAAAATCATTAACATTTCCCACGGCCTTGTAAACATCAATGACATCATTGTCGTCTCCCACGGTCTCAGAAACGTCATCGTCATCTCCCGCGATCGCAACAAAATCATGAACATTTCCCGCGGCCGAGCTGATATCATCGTCGTCTCTCGCGGTCACGGAAACGTCATCGTCATCTCCCACGGTCACGGAAACGTCGTCGTCGTCTCCCGCGGTCACGGAAACGTCATCGTCATCTCCCGCGGTCACGGAAACGTCATCGTCATCTCCCGCGATCGCGACAAAATCATGAACATTTCCCGCGGCCGAGCAGATATCATCGTCGTCTCCCGCGGTCACGGAAACGTCATCGTCATCTCCCACGGTCACGGAAACGTCATCGTCATCTCCCGTGGTCACGGAAACGTCATCGTAATCACCCGCGATCGCGAAAAAATCATGAACATTTCCCGCGGCCGAGCAGATATCATCGTCGTCTCCCGCGGGCACGGAAACGTCATCGTCGTCTCCCGCGGTCACGGAAACGTCATCGTCATCTCCCGCGGTCACGGAAACGTCATCGTCATCTCCCGCGATCGCGACAAAATCATGAACATTTCCCGCGGCCGAGCAAAAATCATCGTCGTATCCCGCGGTCACGGAAACGTCATCGTCGTCGTCCGCGATCGCGGCAAAATCATGAACATTTCCCGCGGCTGTTTAGAGATCACCGTCATCTCAAGGGGTCACGGAAACGTTATCGTCGTCGTCCGCGATCGCGACAAAATCATGAACATTTCCCGCGGCCGAGCAGATATCATCATCATTGGTTTTCGCGGTTACGTAAACGCAAGACGACGATCGCGGCAAAATCACGAAAATTCCCGACTTTGAAATCAAATTTAAGACTAAATCCCGACTTTTCAAGACCATTTTGAAATTCAATACTAATTCCCGACTTTCCCGATTTTCCCGACTACTAGACACCCTGAATTTACAGTATACATTTTGATAGTTCGACATGGGCTGAGCTAATTTGTCAAGTGATATTTAATGGTTACTATTGTGATATAAGCTGACTTTAACATTAATTTGTCATCTATTGTTGTCTTGAGACTTGCTTAATGAACTGTGAAATTGTTAAGATTTTTAGTAGCCTATTTAATACATTTGGGTGATTTTTATATAAGAGTTGTGTTTTTACTTTCCTGTATATTTAACTCCATTTACTCCCTACAGTTTGACATAAAGTGTCTAACTATTGATGTTCTACTGCATTTTAAACAAAACTTTTATAAGAATTTGAAAGAGAACTAATGATTAATAAGATTTTAAAGGTTGTTTTGATTATTTTCAACCTTATCTTAAACCTCTTGAAACATAACATAAACTGCAAGTTCTCTTTTGTTAAAAAAAAAAAATATTTATCATGGCTAAAGCTAGGAGAATCATTTTACTAGCTACCAATAAATTTCATAATATCATTAACAATTATTAGTACATGACTCTTTCTTTTCCATAGCCAATTAATTATGATTCAGCAAGACAAGATTGTGTAAAACAATATGAAGCAACAAATGGTTTATTTCCGAAACCACTTTAAACATCCGAAAATAATTCTGCAAACAAATAGAAAGTGGAAATTTCAAAATAAGTGGATCTAGCTTTGTCATCATAACACCATCAACTATCACTTATTATTCCACACAAACAAATATTGTAAGGAAGGAAACAAAAGTGTAGATTGATATGTATGTGCTATAAATAAATCATTATTTTAGACTTGAGTGATTGTTGTAAATGAAGGAATAAGGTACAAAATATCTACTGACAAGCATATTTTTAATCAAACCATAGTTGTTACCTTTATTTTCTCCCACTTATCATCGACGTCCTGTAGCCAACTTAGGAAGAGTCGGCCGTTGTAGCGTGACCGAGCGTTGCGGTCCTTCTCCTCCTGCTCTGGCGTGATCGCACTGTACACCTCCTCATCGCGCAGGATCGTGCACGCAGAGAATGGCAGTGCCTGATTGGCCAGTGCCCGGGCTGCACGACCGTGCACCCGCAGGATCTCTTGCTCAACTGACAGGACTAGTTTCTCTTTCTCTATCACATGCTGTGAGAAAAAACAATTAGAAACTTGATTGAGACCAGGAACTTAATTGTTGTAATCAACACATAAAAACCATATTGGCAGATGTGAGCAATTAGTAAGAATGGATTGTGTTGGGCATTTGTTGAGTGAGGAACCAAAGGTGTTATATCCAATCTAAGATTGTGTAGTCCTATCGGTAACCGTGAAATAAAACAATTTTGTTTCTTTTTGTTTTAAAAACAAGTTTATTCATGTTTTATGATTTCGTGTCTCGTTTTACCAAATCTAATCTAACAATCAACAGTATAAACAGTTCCAAAAGTGGTGACTAATTAACAGGAACGGATGTACCCTAATATTTAGTGTGATCTATTTTGACTTTTACACTTAACCAACGATATAAAAATTGTGGAATGCAAGAGTGGTCTAAGGATTCAAGTCATATTCACTGTCATTGACTTGGACCAACTTATAATCTATGTGAAATAGTTAAGTGAGTTAAAGTCTTAGTTGGTAGTTTGTAATTGGTCATTGGTTCGCATCCTACTGCCCGTCACTACATCTTATAGCTGCTGTTCACGTTTGTACTGTTTCACTGGATATGTTACACACAAGGGCTGGAGGCCTAGTGATAGGTAAGGTTAATGAAAAAGACCGTCAAAATCCTTACCATTTAAAAATTATTTTCTTATTATGATTATTTTTCTAATATTTTGTTTCCAATTTTTAACACTTGGTATAAAATCACTTGTTACAGGATTGGTGCTCAATGAAAATCTCAAATAAGGACATTAAACCAGTGTCAATAACCAGAATAACTATTTCACTCACTTGGGTTCGTAGCCTGAACCGTTCCTTTTCTTGTTCCACAAACAAGTCTTTGATCGGTCCTTGTAGGGAGGCGGGAGGTGCTACTTGTTGTACAGGCAGTCTAGAGCTAGCGTTGCCAGCCAACACGTAGGTACAGCGGTTCATCAGGTAATCCTTGAACCCCTGCGGAGGCTTGGGCTGTACAGGGAACAAACCCTTCCTCCGGCGGTCAATCTAGAAAATAAATGTCTTGTTACATATTCAAACTCAATTATAAAGTAAAATTCAGTGATTACTTCATTGGATTACAGAGTTAATTCATTTTGGAATGAGGAGCTGCTGAATGACGAAAACAGCTGTCCGACTACATAATAATAAGTACTACCTCGACTTATTCTTCATCAATTGTTAATGTTAACTAGGCCTACTTTAAAATGTTTGTATTGTAGATAGCATACAGTTTTAGGTAATACTCGAGCAATTAAATTAGTAAACAGAAACAGTTCCAAGGTTGATGGCCAACTAGTAAACACAATTTTCACCTGACAACATAGGAAATTTATTCCCCATTTCTTTACTTTATCTAAGTTATTGAAAGTTTGTGACAATGCCTGACAGTGGCTGGACATCTACTTGTGTATGTTGAAAAAGAACCGATCGCTATAATTGAACAAAAGAATTAGTGAATGAATAGCTGGGATTACACTGATGAGATTATCTCATGGAGTGTATCATGAATTTGAAGTACTTTCGCCTGTAACTCTTCAAGGAAAAATGCCACTGGCTTAGAAATCAAGGGGGGAAATGCACCAACTGTTGAAGAAACAGGAATTAACCCTTTTTCCTCACCTTTAACCACACATAACTAAACGATATCAGTGGGCTGAACGCCAAATTATTATAAGTATGGTGTAGTTGTTACCTGTTTGCGGATGTTGAGAAACAGCTGGTAGCAGTTAGTGACAGGCTGGTCGTGAGGATGTACGTTGACCTGAGTGCTCGTACTAGCCGTGTCACTGCTCTCACTAGTAGGCAGAGAGTCTCTGGGTTTGAGTTTACGTTTGCGTGGATGCAGCTCCACAGGTGTAGGGTTGCTCTCCGTCGGCTCGGCCGGTTTCTCCTCCGCAGTGTTGACTGGAGAGAGTGTAGTGGGAGCTGCAGTTTCTGCAGGCGGAGGGACGGGAGACACGTGGCCTGGAGATGGATTCTCCGGGGCTACAGGAGACGAGGCGCCGCTGGGAGCACCACTGCTGCCTCCAGAACGGCTGTGGGCAAAAAATGTCCATGAGATTTTGTAAAATACTTATTCAGTTGGCATAATTCATGTCCAGTGGCAAGTCAGATGCGCAAAAACCTTTTCCCCACCGCCGCTTTTCTTTATTTTGTTCAGTTATGACGAAAAGAAGTTAGTTAAATCAATTTTAATAACACTAGCGTCTATTGGTGTGACTCAGAATTGTTTCCTCATACCTACCTACACTCTAATTGACATACTAAGATAAAATGTTATAGAATAGAGAAGGTAAAGGTGTAACAAGACATCCAACCAAAATGAATAGTTTATGCGTACATAAACTTTTGTGAATATATAGGTGATCGACTGTTTCCTCTGGCACCAAGAAAGGAAATCAGTTTAAAATTGCAGCTGATTTATCACTGTAGGCAATACAACACGGTAATAATCTATTAGCTAGAAATAACCCTAACTAACCAAACTGTATTAAAGAGGAGATTGCAGCTAGTTTACATAAGACAACGTCCAGGTACAGCAGGCCACAGTAAGACAACTGTACAAGATGGTGGTGGATGCTTTCAGGTCCAATCTGAATGAGTTTTGTATTCCATTGTACAACCTTCTTTGTCTAAACTTGACAAAGTTCTCCAGGGGACCATGTAGGACTATTTTGAGTTTGTCTTTTTTTATATGTCTACTATGGCATACTTGACAATTCCCCTTTTAAAAAATATCACAAAATGTATAGCCCAATGCTCAAGGACAGTTTCAAACTGTCAAAAGCTATGGATTTATCACAGGAACCGGCAACATTCTGATTTGTTTCCCAAAAGAACCACTTAAAAACTACTTTTCCCTAAAAATTCCCCTTTACAACCTCTGTGAACTTTACCTGTGAGAACTCCTAGTGACTCGTTGGTGCGTCCGTTGTTCTTCCGTCATCTCTGCCTCGGTAGTGCCGGGCGGTGGCGACGTAGTGGTTGTGATGGTAGCTGGTGCGTCCGACGGAGGAGGACTAGTTGTTGGAGTAGCACCACTAGGGACCACGTACGGCAGCGCTGTATGCCTGGCAGCTCCACACTTGCCATTCCTCGTGCCTTGCTCTGTTGACTCTACACTCGGAATGACTATCTTTAGCGGCGGAACTTTGGGCCCTGGACTTTCCACACCTTTGTTCTCTTCACCGTCACTCTCGCCCGTCACTGACTTGGGGCTGCCTCCACTGTTGCTTCCGGTTTTGACTGCAATGAGTTTCAAAATTCAAATGTAGATATGCTTGAAAAATAGGTAACACAAATTTTTGATGATTGAGATAATGTGAGGTTTAATATAATAGATTTACCACACAACTTTAACAAATTGAAAGCTTAAATTTAGTTGAGGTGTATTTTATTCCACGAAAGTTACAGCTTATAAAAGCCAAATTATTGTACTGTAGTGGGTTTAATGTAAGCATAAAATATTAATTTTAGCCTTTATGAGACATTAAAAATATTGGTTTTACTATGAGTAAAAAGATCTGGAATGAAAATAACAACTAAATGAAAGTTATCAAATTTGTAGAGAACTCTCTGAGTGAGTGTACATTCAGTCACACAGAATGTACAGAAATTTTATATAGGCCTACCATCGTTTTCTTAGTTTGTAGTTTGTTTTTGTAGTTATCTAAATCAGAATTTAGGGCTAGGTTGAGTTAGGCTACCTTATGTTTGGTAAGAACCAAAACGTAACCAAATAAATTACCTATTGTCAAGTACTTACAAAGTGGCTATTATATATGTATAAGAAAAAGCTAAGAGCCTAACCTCTAACAGCAGTGGGGTCCTCTTTACGTTTCTTCCGCTTGGTCTCGTCCTCCTCCTCAGTGCTGTGCCGCTTGAGGTCCTTGGTCTCCTCAGTGGGAGGTTCCGGCGCCGCTGCAGGCTCTGGTTCCTTCACCGCTTCACTGGGAACCTCCGCAGGCTTCTCGGCCGAGCTCGTCCCTCCTGGCATCACTGTTGGGTTCTCCTTCACTGCTTCTTCTGGAGGTGGGGGACTAATGTGACTAGATGATTTGTTGGCACTGTTATTTTCACTTGTGCTGCCAAAAGAAACAGGATAAATTATGAAATGTCTTAAATTTATGGTCACCAAATTTATTCAAAATATTGCTTATGTTCACTGTTTTGAGGTTTATTTTGACTTATTTTGTGTTATTGTAGGCCTAATGTTTAAAGTATTTTAAGATAGGTAGGTACTTTAAGATATAAAACCGATAATAAGGTACCGGTAATAAGATATTACACTCAGACGGATGTAAAACTTACCATCATTTACTAGGCTATATAACTTGCATGTCAATTTATATTTCTGTGACATACCAATCCTACTTTATCGAGAGTCTCTGTCTAGTTGCCATCATAAAATAAACTAATCAATAGCAAATTGTTTCATGCAAAACGGTTGAATTAGGTTAGTAAATTAGACTCTTCTAGTTTAAATGTTGTATGAAATAGCTGATACAAAATGCTTTCCATTGTACTTATCTATATAATTAATACGCTACATGAAACTTTGTCGGTTGAACTCCTCTGCCATTTCTTAACCGATTTTATCCATTGACGTCTCATTGGAAAGAGCGTATCGCGTAGATTTGCAAACTGGCCTTACATTTTTGAAAAAATCCCTTGGGCTCTGCCCCAGTGGCTTTGAAAGTTCCCATGTTATCCTTATGAAGAACATAATTGTTTACATTTTGATCAGCTGTATAATTTAATTGCTGTTATTTATTTTTGAATTCAATGAAATGCGTTGAGTATATTTATTTACTATTTGATTTTGTGTAAACATAACCCCCAAGACGGATCGTGTTAGTATGGTTGTATCTTAAATTTGTGTATTTATCGTTGTTTTGTGTCGCTATGACGGATCGTGTTAGCATGATTGTAATTTAAATTTGTGCATTCATCGTTGTTTTGTGTAGCTATAATTTGTTTATTTGTTGTTTTTTTATGCCTCCGACGCGACGACAACGAAACATTAACAGGAGGCGTAATCGTGATAACGACTGCAGCTACAGAAACAGAACAGTGTGGTGCGTAAGAGGCTAACTCATCACAGTCAGCACCTGACCTTGGACAAACTCAACTATTAGGTTACAAAAATGTGCCCTTTAACACTACCCTAAAACGACTTTTCGTTCTCAATTAGTTCTCTATCATGACCTGTGTTGCCTGTACAGCGAGGGATTTTAAGAAGGAGAAAACCGGCCGGAATGCTTTAGGTTTATCAATAACGAAGATAAACATGGTCTGAGTTACAGTACACACCGGTAATCTTATTGAGTTGAGTCTTTTAAACACATTGTAAATATGACTGTTATTCGTTTTGAAATAATTCCTGTAATACTTTGCAATTGCTCGAATTCGAGCAACATGTACACTAGTTTAGATTGTTATAAACTGGATTTTGCAAAATAATAGAATAAAATGTATATACCCCTCTATAATCTTTAATAACTACACAGAAAACTTAATAGGCTACTATCTAGTAGCAGCTTAGAAGAGTTTACTGATCTCGTTTGAGTTTAAGTTACCCAAGAAGCGAGAGTTATATATAGTTGTGAGATGTCTTTCACTTGGTATGAAAAATACACCATCAATCAATTAATCAACTAAACAAGAATATTGCACTTCAGTAAAACTCTATCTCCTACACAGTCAACCTAGTTAAAACAGATATCCAAATGTGTTTACCTATTTTCATGGTTATCAGTCTCTGTATTTACTTTTGTCCGTTCCTTTTTCTCGTCTCGGTTCTTCCCCAGCTGATGTAGCCTCAGAGTCACTCGAGGTGTCCCTTTGTTTTCCACTGTAAACCGTCGATATATCATTTACTGCACATTTTCCATTTTATTAAAATAGCAAAAAGCCTATTAAAAAAACACGAACAGGTCTAATAAATATTGTTGATGAGGACTGCTTAAACTGATCTATAAGTGACACTGAATCCCTATATTTTTCAAGGTTGGTTTTCCAAAAGCAATGCTACTTAGAACTTACGATAACTGTATTTTGTTTAATTTCTCAAAATAGATACGGGTAAATCCTAAACTTATTTTTATTTTACTATGGGAAGGCTACCTACCTAAAATTATTTTCTGGTTATGACATTTTACTTAGCTAAGCTGTAGCCTGTTGCTGTCAAAAGGTTTTTCACTGATCTACAACGCTACTGAATATCTTACAACACCTTAACATTAAGTGAGTTTGGTTAAGAAAGTACGATAACAATATTATTTTGATCTGAGAAAATTTAATCCTTTTGATTTTAAGTTATTAGAATGAGTTAGTAAATATTACAACAGCGAGCGGACTTGACTCTCAGTGGAATCAAAATCATAGGTTAGAGACTATGCCTATGTTCATTTACTTTCTAAATTCTCTTAGGATTTCAAAATTTTTCCTCTAAATTCTACATTTCTACATTTTACTGGTAACTGCCACATTAGATCAAAGGAGTTCTACCTGAACCACAATTTTTAAGTAGCCCCAACGTTTAACCCAATTGAGCAGTGATTGTTTTCAATACAAAGGTTTAGTGCTTTTAAAGTTGTTATTATTTTTTTAAATACCTTATTAAATAAATGGGTAGGCCCTATTAAAAATGCCTAAGTACTTCCTGAGGGTAAAACATTTAATCCTTCTTATGCCACCTAATTTTTAAAAACAGAATAAGTAATCTAGCCTCCACTTTTGTTGTTATCCCAAATTTTCTTTAAAAGACCTTACAGCTTAAAATATTCATGTATTTTAGCATTTTACTGAAATAGATCATTCCGATATTTATATTGCATGAAAAGTATATACAGTAGTGTCCTATCCAATATGATTGATCAAACTTATAGTATATCCGATAAGTTAATACATTGTAGCCTAGGTTCCAAGTGGCATATGTAACTGATTTTGTATGGTGATAGGCCTAAGTTTAAGCATAGACTAAAAAACACAAGTAACAAACTTTTCATCCCATTGTAAATTTTGAAGCTTGCTTTTTCGTGTCTAGTTCATGTAGCCTACGTCGACACTGATCGCTAGTGTTTCTGTTATTTTAGGGTTATTTTCAAGATCTGTGCTTTACATTTTGGTTATATAATTAGGAGACGAGTTATTGTTTAAGATGAGAATGATTTATTTGGTTAAACATGGTTTTAAATTTCTGAAATTACAATAAATAAAATTGTAAACAAAACATAACCTCTACAGTGCGATGTACAGAACTAACAATAACATTGGCTTTCCCAGCTGTTCCATAAATATGACAAATCTACTAAGGGAGAATGTGTTTTTTACGGTTTAAATTAGGTAGTTTTTTCAGTAAATTAATCACAATGTCTGAATATAAATAATTTTTTGTTTGATTGCCTAATTGTTGACGTTTTTTTAAGTCCTAAGTACCGGTACACATTTAAGGTAAACAACCCAAATACTGTGACTAAGTTATACACAAAATTCCGTGATTTTCTCGCCAATAATAATATTGCTGGTCATAGACGTCTAAACTTCAAACTAGAAGTACTGGGTGTCCCAGAAAGGAATGCACTTATATTTTGGGGAAAGCCAAATGTCCACGGGAAATAAGATAAGGAGCTTATCAGGCTTCAAAATCATTTGCCATGGGTCGCTTTACCGGTGAGCAGCGTGCTTTCTGTCTACGCCACCATTACCAAACGCTTTCTTATGTGACAGATTGACACGCTCAATACAAACTTCATGATCTCAATCAAACATCATCAGTGAACATAATTTAAATGCTGGTTGCGCAAATTTGAAGTTTTTATAAATTAAACCTACCGGTAACTTACTTAATTTTAAGTCCGTTATTGAGAAATTATATTTTAGAAAACTGTAGCCTATCACGGAAATTAGCCATGTAAGATTAACTTAGTACTATTTTCTAAATACCGCGAAAGGATAACGCTGTAAGTTATAGAGTACACAATAACTTAAAATTTTTTAAAGCAGCGAATAATAAGTTAATATTTTACAAAATAATAACATTAAAAAAGGTAATAGAGTAATTTGAATGAGCTTAAGTGAACAAATTGTTGTTAAATGTTGTAAGTGAACTTAATCAAAATAGAAACAAGTTATGTTAATTGTGATGACTAAGTTAGGCCTAGCCCATTGATAATATGATCAGGTTGGATAGCATAGGTTAGGGCCCACTATCTTCTAAGCACTATAGCCTACAAACTAATCAATAGCTTAGAAGTTTAGTAAAGTTAATAAGATATTATGTTTTTCAATGTAGCCTAAATACAAATAGAACATACTCTTCTTCCTGCTAAGTTACTTATGGCACATCCAATTCACTCCCGTTCCCCCACACCATAAGGTGTCAGAGTTTACACCAAGACACACATTACACACTCGAAATTCCAACAAATCAATTCACAAAGAGTCACAAGGGAGTAATCTATTTCCAAAACAAACACTCCCTAGAATCCGTCGATAATCTATATCCGCCGAGTGTCACTTAACCTACAAACAACGAGAGACTTGGTAGGACAATCCCCTCTCCCCACCAGTCGCGACCACAAGGCCAGAAGTCAACGCACGATCTAAACTAGGAAGACAAGGTGTTAGATAAATCCAAATGTACGACAAATCAAACACTCACCTTTATTGGGGGGAGGCTGTTTCCGCATCTCAAAAACCCTTCCCTCACAAACTACGACTGGGCGCACTACAACCCCATTACACTTTATTTCGCCAACGATCCAGCCTTGTGCGAGCTAAAGATACACTTCGCTAATATTCTGTTAACCCTAGAGATAACATAATCAAAGGGTGAAGCGTCTGGTTCTCGTCGAGATTGCTACGGTTTTAATCGTACTAAAGGCGTTCGGCCATTTTATCACAACAGACAACACAAACGGGCAGACGAGTTTTCGGCAGGGTCGAAACTCGAAATCTCACCACCGCCAAACTCGCTCTGCGATCGTTACTGGAGAGGGTTCTTTTGTAAAAATGTTTTCAATTAAAATCTTTATTATAAGCTGGAATTTCGTCATTGAACGCTTTCACATAATGTTACAATGTTGTATGAGTTTATTAAAGTAATACAAAAATAAAATTATCAAACACACTCTAATTTTTGCAATTTAAAAAAAACAGTTATTTGTGTTGTCTGTGCATTATTTACTGCTCACGATTGCAATAGCAATCTTGGATTTCGTAAAAATGTCTTAAAGTCAAATTCAAAAAGCAATCTAGTATAGTGTAATTTATATTGAATAACTATGGTACAGTAGTTGTTTTAAAGATTAAAATTCTCAGAAAATTCTCAACCGATTTTTAAAATGCCCTAAAATTGCAACAGTGTTATTAGATTTATTTTTATGAAAAATCGGCTAAAATTCAATAATAAATTGTTCTTTACTTGAGATCGATACCATACCAAGCCAATTGGTAGAAGTGCAATTGTCGAGTTCCAAGTTGCGAATTCGAGTTCCCGGATTCCGGAAACTGTGCCATCAACGTTCTAAGAAAAACTGTATTTTGGTTCTTTTAATTTTTTGTGCTGTCGTACAGCTGAAGGCTGAACTCGGTTTACGGCAAGGTTGCCGTCCTCTCACAAAAAAGGTTTAACTTATTGCACGGTTCGCTTTTTAAGTACAATAGTCTATAGTGAAGGGAAAGGGAAAATGTAACCAAATGCTACTAACGAAAGCCGTAAGATACAATAGAAACAAATATTACTAATATTTTAATTGAATATATCATTACTTCGTCGTACGGTAAAGATAGTTCTTGGCGTTCGCGAATGTGTTACTCTTCTTGTGTATTCTCAACTTAAAGAATCTTTCTTATCTCAGAATAGCATTTTTTAAATCTTGCTACAAACATAAAACAATGAAATCAAGAGCATCACGTGGAGTGGAGCAAATGTTTTGGGAGTTGATGTAATCCCAACATACGGGTGAGGGGGAGGGGAATTCCAGACTGGTCGGGTCAACTCCTAGGCTGGCACCTGTACAATAGAAGCAGCTGTGGCCTGTGACGCCGGTGTGTGGTCCAAAGGCCCGCACTCTGGTCGAAATCTCCCTTCAGATTCGTTAAAAATTAGAATGCCGTATAGTATAAATGAGAAATCCAACTGCATCACCCTCTATCATTGTGTAATGTGAACAGAAAACGAAAAAGTGGTGGTAATTTTCCATTTCGAAGTATTTAAATTCCAATAAATATCTCAAACATTCCCACGAATGTGTTAAATACTACACAATTTTACCTAAACTGAAGTGTGCGTCATTATGCCACACGCTAGTCTGGCAAGGAATCACACACACACACACACACACACACACACACACACACACACACACAACAGTTTGTATTGTACCAATTGTACTAACAAATAGAATCGGAAGAACGCTGTAGGAAAGAGCTCAGCTCACACACATTGAAAATAGGTACGGTAGTCAAAATGGGTATATGATTCAGAACTCTCAGAAAGTACCAGTTACTAAACCTCTCTATTCACTTTGTTCGCAGGGATTTCCAAGAGGAGTTTGTACTGTTGCGATGTTGCGTTGTAACCATTGACTAGGTATATATAGTCAATGGTTGTATACATAGTCAATGGTTGTAACTTACCAGCAGGGCCGGTTCTAGGAATTTTTCAGAGTTAAGCGAACACCCGAATCAGCGCCACTTAGGATTCCCCCCACCACCCCCCTCCCCCAAACCAATAACATAACATAACCGTATTTGTAAATTTTTTCCCAATAATTTTGGGAAGAACTTTTTTTATAAGTTTAGGTTAGAAGAATACTTGCAATAAAAGACTGTTTATTATTCGCATAAATTTAACATTTTTACACTTTTACTCGTCATATAAACTTTAGCAAAACCAAGGCCACACTAAAAAACAGACCGTAATGCTCGTCAATCATGACGTCACGATAGAAGACGGCAATGACGTAATTAAGGTTATATTTTTGTTTTCCATGAAAAGATTAAAACAAGCAGCTGATCACAAACGGTAAACATTACATCATTGCCGTCTTCTATCGTGACTTCTTTGGGCTGACTGGACTCGCCACCAGATGATTTAAACAAAAAAATCTACTCATTGATTTGGCTTCTTTTTATCTTCCTCTTACAAATTTGCCTTACCCTTTCTTACAAATTTGCCTTACCCTTTTTATAATAAGTGCCAGACGTTTTTTTTTCTGCCATTGTTATATAAATTAAACTTAAAACACTCGTAATCATTCACTTATCAACAATCATGAATCATCAAAACAACGCCATTACGATACCGATACACGCTAATACGCTAATACACTAAAAGAGTGCAATACAACGTAGTGCTCTGCTCTAGGATAAGAGTCAGAAGGGAGGGGGAAGTTTCTTGTTGTGACAATTGGCGCTGCGCGCTTGCTTATCTCATCTCGAGCATGAGCGAGTCGTGAAATGAAACCCACAGGCGCCGCGCTGTACGCTGCCGAGCGTCAGCTCACTACGAAATCGAAACTGCAAATGGCATTGAGTCCTTGAGTTGTATAGTGCTTTACAAATATACACATTTATCAAGTGCTGTTGGTACAAACAGAATTAATGCTTTATTGTGGTATACTTGAACTCTGAGCGAAAATAAACAAAATTACGTTGTTCACGTAAAAAAAATTGTTCCGTTGGCGACACGGCGCCACTTTTTCGTGGCGCCATATGCGGCCGCGTAGTTCGCGTATGGGTTTAACCGGCCCTGCTTACCAGAAGCATTCCAGCTGCTGAGGAACCTCGTCAGGTCCACCCCGGCCACGTCCTGCGGCGTCTTGCCTCGCTTGTTCTTCTGGTGGATGTCGGCGCCAAAGTCCACCAGCAGTACTACCAGCTGAAACATCACATGATGGAATCACCTCTCGACCTCTAAATTAACTGATAGAGGATTAAATTACCTGGATACTGACAAAACGATCCAAAAACCTCTATTAGTGAAACATTATCATCACATACTCCTCTAATTCAAGGCCGCGGCGTGACAAAAGTGGCAACGCCGCAATCCCGGCCTGCTGAAACAACTGTTATTGCCATGGCAACAGGCCGGCCGGTGCAACGTTGCCACACTAGCCGCGACCTTGCATTGGAGGCTTACAACCCATTATAGTCTACACACACGACTTCTCTCGAGACAAATTGCCACAAGATAAGTTGGGAATCACATTTGATTCAGGTGGTTATAATGTTACGACAAGACTACGTTTACGTTTCGCTAGTTATTATTTTCGCTTTCGTTGAGTCCAGAACGACGCGCCTCGTTTCTGCCTGCTGTCAAGTTATTTCCAATTAACTACAGGCCTTATAGTACAAATGAGATTTCTCTCGTGTACAAACAATTATCTTTCAAGTACCAACATACAGTTCTAATACAGTATAAAGTCTTCATCGCAATCCAATTCTGTTGTGTCCTGTTGTGTGCAGGGTGTTGTCCCCAAAAATGTTATACTATTACATTTAATTTGAATTAGTGCCCGTTTCAATCAACCACCAGAGTTAATAACCCATTTCTTGCGATAACGTAAATTTGTTAAAAATCAAAACAAATTAAAATTAGTTTAATCGTGATCGCTGTTAATTCTGATGAAATTTAGCAGATCTCAGGTGTAGCCTCCGGGATTGACTTAGTACCCGGAATTATACCCGGAAGCCTAAAAATTACCCTATTACAGTATCTCGGAGATTAAAAATCCCTAAAAATTTGGAAACTGCCCCTGTAACCAGCCTCCCCGGGCCCTCATTCCATCTCTTAACTTCCAACAATGACAGATTCTGGGAAGCGAGGTTCAAATCCCGCCAATCAATCACCAATGGAGTTTACCCATGTTATAATACCGTAGGTCTAGCCTGAAGATGTGTAAAACGGTTCCGGACTAGAGCCGGGCGTCTTAGATGTGAAGGTGGAGCAGAAAACCAATAAAATATTCAGATTGACCAACCTTGCTGTGGCCGTTGACGGCGGCGTCGTGCAGTGGTGTGTCGTCGTCCAGCCCTCGAGCGTTGACGTCGGCCCCCGCCTGCAGCAACAGTCGCGCCACCTCCAGCCACCCGTGGTTACATGCCTCGTGTAAAGGCGTCCAACCTGCCACACATACAACCACGTGTCTTACAATTACCTCAATTAGGACCCCAGTTATACCCAACCTTGCGATGTCAGGCATCTGAAGAACGTACAAGACCAGGACTAACTTCGAAATGTATTGCTGCAAAATGAATGAGAGGCTATCGCAAAAAAATGGATAAGGGGATAAGGGGTTATGTTCTGAAGAAGGGTCAGCACATCTCCGAAAGGCACTGTTTGATAAAAGAATGCGGGGATAAGGGTCAAGCATATCTCCGAAAGGCACTGTTTGATAAAAGAATGCGGGGATAAGGGGTAATGTTCTGGAGAAGGGTCAGGCATATCTCTGAATGCGAGGATAAAAATAATGTGTTGATAAGGGGTTATGTTCTCGAGAAGAGTCAGGCATATCTCCGAATGCGAGGATTAAGGGGTAATGTTCTGAACAATTTGTACGACCGTGTACAGTATTACTCCGAAACCTATTTCTCTGAAAATCAATGTTTCCAAGAAAATGCGAGCTACGGTCGTGTGCTGAACAGGATCGGCATGCTTGGGCATATTCAATGAAAGCAGACTGTATTCATTGGCATAGAGTACCTCCAAACTATATTTATTCAAATATTTAAGCCTAGCTTTGAAATGCAAAATCACCAATCTTAATTAAACCCACAACCCACAAGCGGGTGTAATTGTAGGAAAATTCAACAAAATGTACATTCGAAATTACCACACGATGTTATTCTGATGGAGAACATGAAAAAATGGTCGTAGGTTGCATTTTTATCAAATTTGGCAAACATGTTTATTTTATACTATTCTATTGAACATATTTCATTAAAACCTAGGTACCTGTAAAACGTTGTTAAATTGGGAATAAATGTGATGACAAGTAGAATTCACTAATTTTAAGATTTCAAGATCGAAAGATTTCAGTAAAAATCCAATAGGACCAATGGAAATTATAGTTTGCAGGCATGCTATGGCGGGGATATTTCAAAGCACTGTATGTTGGAGCACAGAAAACGTACTGGAGTTCGGAAGCAGACATCCCCATACTTGTATTTTGAAGTTGCGCAGAAATTTAACACAATGGACCCTAGAACCACTTCCAACCCTACGAGCACTCATAAGTACTGAGCTCTAAAAACGTCACCATTACACGTTTACAAATGTATAACCCGTGTACGGAGTAAAAATGTTATCTCAATGAACTACTACCATATCCTTTGTACTCAAAATGCTGTATTTCACACGTAATATTAATTTTGAATATAAAAAAGTATAAATACTACAAAAAACTAACACCAGTGTCAGTGATACGACATACGACATTGCTATCGGTCTGATTCTTCGCTCTCGTATCTTCGATTTATAGATAACATCATTAAATGTCAATGTCAAAATTAAACCAACTTCTAATATCTGACGCAGTGTACTGCATCGACTAATCGTACTAATAGTAAAATATCTCCGGTGTTACAAAAGATTCATAACTTGGAGCCACAGAGTTTAAACCCTTTATTCTGTGATACGTAGAGCGTAGGGAAACAATACCATGCAGAAGATTATATCACAAAAACTACATACTGTACTGATTTCGCAAGACAATACAGTAGCCTAGTATTAAATTAACAACTTTAAGCGGAACACTTATTTATAGATTTAAGGTTGTGATCGCAAACTTCGGCATTTCGAAACATCCAATTTGATACAGTTAGCCTGTACAGATGGGTTGACATGAGAGTTTTTATCGGAATCTAACAAAATACTATGTTTGTAATTTTCTAATTGTATCTTCATAACCACAGAATTCGCAGTAAAACTGTTATCAACTGTTATCCGATTTAATATCCCTCATACTATATAATTATATAGTTTTGAACAAAACAATTCAGTTAATTTTCAATCACAGACACGGGGGCTTTGGTCGGGACTCGGGAAGCGATGGTGCATCGCAGTTGACGATGTGGCAACGTCGCTTACAAGCCGCGATCTGGCAACACTGCGGCTGCAGCCTTGAACTTGAATGGGTGACTCAACATTCCTGCAACAATCGGCCAAACTGCACAATACCCGCGGTCCGTAAATAAACAATATTGCATAGCGAAACAATCTTGCATTATTATGTAAAATATATTGTTTTTATGAAACAGAAGGTTTGGTAATCGTGATCGGATGGGTAACTCCCTTGTTTTTAAGCGCATACATGAAATTTAGGCCAATTTTCACAGTTTTGACTTCAAACTGATTTGAAAAGAAAAACCTTTGAGATAGAAAAGAACATTAGATTGTTGTAGATAATTTAACTCCGCACTAACGATTTTCCGTCAGATGGAAGATCCAAGCATGGGTTCCGCTTGTACAGACCAAAATATTAAAGAAAGACTTACGTGGTCGAATTTCAACGAAAATAGCTTTCTCCCTCCCTAAACCCCCTTTCGAAAACCCCCGCCTTGTTGCACATCTTCACCTACTGATACTCCCTAAACCAAATTTGACAATTCTAGGTCGTATATAGTGAGATTCTAGTGAGATAATCTATCAGTCAATGGCATTTGTCATTATTTACTTTGATGGTACTGTACTGTATTTGCCTTTTATAGGTAGTTAGGAGAGACTTTTTTATGCACACAGGTTAAAGTTAAACTTGTTTACAAATAAGAGACTAACATTTTTTAGATCCAAGTCCTAAGTATACAAAGTGAACAACCATTGGTACAGTATCTCAGAAACTGCTAGTATTAGAAAATACCCCCGCCGCAGCAAACCTGCCGATAAGCGAATTTCCGTCTGAATTATTAATTAAATCTACTTAAAAAAAGTTAGTTTAATGAGTACCTATATAGGTTTGCTGCTACAGTTCAAGGACACTAATATTAGTGTTATATTATATGTAGTTATAATATAAGTGTATTTTTTTAACCACTAATAGCTTAGGTCTAGAGAGAAATTGGGAAATTTTGTGTTTTGAGGGTCAAAAATGAGAAAAACCAATTTTTTGCCCCATGTAACCCCCCGTTCCCATGGGCCGATTATGCTGGTTCGCGAAGCGAACTCATTCAAGTTTATTCCGCCTTACACCTTTAACCAAATTCAATGAAAATCGAACAATAATTACTCAAATTATCGCGTTCACGGACGTATATATATAAATTTGTACGAATGGTGTTTTTGGCCTGTGGGGACATCAAAATAAAAAAGTAAATCGGTCCCGGGTCTAGGTCTTACCGTGCCTCCTATGGTAATATCTACTTCCCTATAGGGAAATTCGCTAAAAACATTAAAACATGTTCGCTGCGGGAAAAGAAATTGATATAACTTTTGGTGGTCCTACTTTTATTTTTATTTTTACTTACCATTTGAGTAAATAAGTGTTGCTGATTTGTTCTAACCTTTCCCACGCTGTTGATAACCTCTGATGACGTAATGAATTGGGCGGTCGCATTCGGCCGCACAGCACCCACGCTCGGTCCTGCGCGGTCGATCTCGGCCGTCCCGCGTTGGTAAAGTCCCAATGTCGTTATTTTGTAAAACCACTACTATTATAAGCTCACTTGTAATCACAGAATGTTGTTAAATTTACAATATTTACATACCCTCCCAACAACCCCTTTGTTACTTAAGTCTTTACTGTGGCGCGTGGTACTTTTCGTAGCACCCAATCGCGCACAAAGGCGGCTCGCCGGGGCACTGTGCACAAAAGTACACAGTTTTCGAGTCTTTCCTTCCTTCTTGGAGACACACTCTACACCGCACTCTAGTTAACCGCCCCGTGGAATCCCTCTTCCTGGTTTTTGATAGCACGTGGATTGAATTTCGTGGAGGGCGAACTGGAACTGCTTTTACGGGCTCAGGAAGAAGCTTATCAATGACTTGTAGGCGGAAATCATAGAAACTCATACTCGAGTTCGAGTTCCCGTTGGCGAAACTGTGGAGCTTGTAGGCATTCATCATGGTTAGCTGAAGAAAGTGAACAAACACTTTCTTATACCACACGAGGGACTTGTTGTGCTCCATCGGGTAGTAGGCCATTAGTTGGTCGTTCCTATCCACACCTTCCATCATAGCACTATATTTTAAAACTGGTAAGGGCTTCTCTTGTTGCACTAGAATGTTCTTGGATACTGCCATCGAGTTTTCGAACTCGGTTGAAAGGTACGACACGACTCTGCTGTCTTTCCATTTTGCCACCAGCACCCCGTCAGCATATCTGGCAATAGATTCTCCCCTTTTCAGCTTCGTTGATTTCACTTCTTCTGGGAGGTGTTTTATATCAGGTCGCAGTTCACCAGTGCAGTAGGTATTCCTAGCGAGAAGTTCATACGCTAAAGGGAAACTACTGTAATAGTTGTCCAGGAACAGTGAATGGCCATTGTTCAGTTTCCCTTTCATTAGGTGAAGCACTACTTTAGATGTGTGTCTACTACCCGACAGCTCGCCTTCCGACCCTGTGGTGATGGTGAATCTAACCACAAGACCATTTGGTTCACAAAGGGCATAGATCCTTTTACTGTTGCTCTTGCATTTGATGCAATGTTCGTGCACAAGCCTTCCGTTCCATAGGACCTTGCCTTCGTCGAGACACAGCTCTCTGCTGGGGTAATACAAGAGATCCATTTTGTAGTTGAAGTGATCCAGCAACGTTCTCACCTCGTAAAGGCGGTCGTTGTTTCGGTTGTCGTTGTTGGCAAAATAGATGTATCTTAGTATTGTCAGAAACCGATCTCGACTCATCTGTTCTCTTACAACACAAAAATTGAAAAATCTGCTGGTTTTCCAATAGTCATTTAGGCGATTGACACGTACTGTTCCCATGTGAAAAAGAATTCCAATGAAAACCTTCAGTTCTTCCACGGTAAGTTTTTTGGGCCAGTTATTAGATACAAATTTTCTGCGAGATCTAAAATACTCCTGCTCAGTATACCTGTTCGTTTCCTTCACAATTTTCTTAAGAACGATGTCATCCAACAACAATAAAAACCAGTCAATAGGTTTATTATTACCAGGTTTCTGTACTT